TCATGTTTTCCGGTACACCTTACACATTGATATTTCTTCCGTGGATAAACTTCTCTCGAGAATCTTTAAGGGCGTTCCGGATGAGATTGCGCTCAGAATACAGTATGTCGGGCAGTATTCTGGTGTTCCCATCGGATTTCATTAAATGACTAGATAGCAGTGCATCAACTACTTCGGTAGCATTCTTGAGTGTTATACGAAGTAGTCTCGGGTGATTTTGATGCTTAGATGCCTTTCCCCGAGTGAGCCGTATGACGGTCAAAGGCTCTTTTATAGGAATTTAAATTTTTTGTTCAATTCAACCCAGAAGACCCTGTCATTTTTGTCCTGCAAACTGAGAGGAAGGTAAGGGTTGTCTTTGAGGTTCATGATTATGAGAGAGTCATCACGAACTGTTATTGTTTTCACGGGTCTTCCGGTGAGTTCAAGTTCAACACCTTGTTGTTTGGAGGTCGAAACAGGCTTCTGAATCCTAGGCTTTTGATAACCGGGCGGACGTTTTTGGGGGTAGACTGAGTGATCAAATCACCAGTTGATTTCCGTACAACACCTAAGATGTTTGACTTAGACGGTGACGTCTGGTCCTTATTAGCTTTGTTAACGTGGGCGCAATCACCTGAAGAGTTTTTGGGAACCACTGTTGCATTTAAGGACCCTGAGATGGGAGACCCGTGTGTACTGAGGGAGTCAATTACCGTCGATGTAACAGCAAAACGGCATCCAGGTCGTTTGTATGAATTTTTCATGACCGTATTGACGTAAACTGCATCATAGATGCTAGCAAAAGCCTAAGACCGTTAAAAATACACTAAAAAGCACACTAAAAACGGACAAAACGGATAAAAACGGATGAGAAGAACTGAAGTGGCTTTTACGTGAAAAACTGAAAAAAGCCGAATAGTAAGCTGAGGAAACACCACAGTTAACTAGTTAATTAAGCGAAACTCAAAAAAGTAATCTACCGAACGTATAGAATAGAATTATTTAGATTCTTTAGATCAGTAATGGTACTTTTGTTGCGTAAGAACACAGAAAAAGTTTGAGAAATTCGAACCACGTTAGGACTAATATTCCCGTTCGAAAAGCGCGCGTTGGTACACAGTACGAATAAATTTATTCGCGATTTACAAATAGTCGACCCAAATGTCGTTCTAACAACAATAATTATAACAATTACAAAACAAACCTTCAATTTTGTGCGTTCTCGGAGCGGAAACGCCTAAATATCAAACCAAAGACAAGGAGAAACCAAAATGTCCGAAATTAGTGACATAAACAAACAAGTTCAGAAGTTGAGTAAAAGTGATGCATCCAAAAACACGGTGAAATTAACAATATTTAATATCACGGTTTTAATCAGTCAAATGTCTTCAATGCGAACCTTAAATTCAAACGAATCAACCATATTATTCCAGAACAATCCCAATGTGAGTTCCGTAGTAAGCTTTTCAAAGTCAGTCTCTTACGGCATCACTCTTTCTTTTGAATGGATTAATTTTAGAACTTGTAAATAGTTACTCAACTACTTGCTGAATGTAAATCCACCTATTTTGAGGAGTAAGCTAAGGGTTTTTGCCAGTTCAATTGCATCCTGTACATTATCATTGAAGGTTAAATAGTCGTCGACATAGAAACCCTTATCTACGACTTTTTGGACATCTTTCGTTAATTCCTTACAAAATGTATCTACCATCTTCTTGAGAGCAAAATCAGCACAAAAAAGAAGAGAGCATACGGCTCCAAATGAATGAATTGTTAAACAATATTGCCTAGCCTTCCGTCTTATGTCACCTTCTTCCCACCATAATAGAAGAAACGCTCCTCTATCGTGTCTCGAGATCTACACCTGAGGAAACATCTCTTCTATATCAGCGGCTAATGTTACGTCACTTAATCTGAATCGTCGAAGTATACCAAGTAAACTATTTACAGTATTTGGTTCTCTCAAAAGCTGATCATTAAGAGAATAACCTTGATATACAGCTGAACAATCAAAAACAATTCTCGATTTTCCAGGTTTCTTAGGGTTGATAACAGGATAATGGGGAATATACCAACAAACAGCATCACTGTCTAATCCCTCCTTTCTAGCTTCAATGATATAACCCTTGCTTAGATGTTAATTCAACACAACTCGATATTTCTGCAGAAAACTGATGTCCTTCGCAAACCTCTTCCTTAAACACTGTAGACTGCGTTCAGCTAGTCCCAAATTATTCGGTAGCCTTAGCTGACCATACTTCCAGGGTAAACCAACTTGAAAATGTCCACCCTGCAGTCTAAAGGAACTACCAACTAATTCTAAAGCTCTTCTGTCTTCTACCGCATACCCATTACGAAACATATCCGCATCCTCAAACCCATAATTATATAATCTTTCTTAATCCTGCAACACATCATTAGTAGGACAATGACACCTCTCAGAGTAATGTTGGAAATATGATACTAGTTTAGGACCTATAATCATCAAAGCGAGATGCGTACAAACACCAAACTGATGTTTCCTGTCTCCCACACTTTGTTTCAGAACCCAATGTACATCTGTAGCGTTTTATCTAACCAATATTCCCAAAAGATTACTTCGTGACGTCGGAACAGTTATGTCCCTCAAGTGCTTTCACCGTCTCAGATAGAGCTCAGTTAAATGTTTTGCATAATCGATCGTAAATCTCTCCGTCGTATAAGCCTTACTGATCTGTACAGGACCCTATTCATTATGAGTATCTCAAAATTAATCATTTACTAGAATTAAAACAAATCTTCAAACAACATCAAACTTGAAGTTTGAACTTCAACACAGTGCTGCTCACTGTAAATGAATAACACCGCATCCACTTCTACATTCAAGGGTCAGGATATTATAAAAGACTGGCGAACGAAACAAACATCAACAGCACAACAAAGAGACAAGCCAAGCCATGCCGCTGCACCGCGATACGGCTTACTAGAGAGAAGACCGGATTTAGCCGAGAAAATATATTTTCCACAAGCAGTCCACGAGAATGAACGAACAAGCATTCAACTCATGAGTGTATATGCAATATAAGCATTTCCTTGAAAAGCGTCACGAAATAGCGCACTTGAAGAAAAAAGCGAATCCATGATGTTCAGCTAGCATCCTCAACATTCAATAGGCAACCGAGTTCAGTAAGCCACCATTTTGCTCCACCGGTTCACTGTTCATATCACCATCAGTGATCGTTCTAGTTCACATACTGTTGATACCAGAGACTGAATTGTGATCAGTTTTAGTTACCAAACTGGCATTCTGTGGGCACTACCTCGATATGGTCATTGTGTCATAAGTTATTTCGAATTAATGGATTTTTCGTCACCGTCGAATAAATTAATGGTCAATTGAGCTCAGTGACTCAACAAATACCGTGCTGTCGGCCTTTATTAAATGATACTCTGTGCTTGATAGGAAAGAAGGCCAGAATATTCATCCAAACTGGACTGTTTATACAAGTTTCTGGAGATCAAACAAATATTTAGCACCATGTTTCAAACTCTGTTTGGGTTTCCCCATGATCAAAATTAACCGTCCACAAGTTTCTGACAAGTAAACTACATCGCAAGCATAACAAAGATCCTTTAGAAAACTTTCTGTGTACATTTCTTCGGAAAGCCATCCTTAACTTTGACTAATGAAACTGAACCTACATCATGTTTGATCAGAATCTTCTCATGTTTTTCCAATTTTTGCTTAATGGTACAGGATGGTAATGGACTTATTCCATTCTCTCTGTATGCTCTTTAATTAAAATTTCTCTCCATTTGTAACAATCTCCTTTAAAACGTCCCTAGGGTTATTGGTTGTCTTAAGTTTAGACAATATTAAATTCAATTTGGTCTGTTCATGTGTACTGTCCATCAATTATATTTTTTCACTGCTATGACCCCCATACAATAAACATGAGCTGAATCATGATCTAAGTTTCACTCAGAATGCATTGTCCTCCGGAATACATTAATTTCTAACTTGATTTTATATCTTCTTTTGAACATACCATTAAGAAACACTAGTATATGGTCAGTAGGTTGTACTGTCCTATTTAGATTATTACCAACAGATGTTTTGATTAAATTTTGAGATGTCTTTTTCAAATCATTTCATTTAATTATCACAAAACTGCCATCTACATTCCGTGTTCATTTGTTTCATTTGTTTTATCTCGTGTTGCAACATATTCTTATGATTTAACCGTTCTTTTACATCACCGTGTTTATGAATTGCTCAATTGTTCTTACGAAATGAATAATTTAAAATATCATAAACACCTATAAGTGTTTTTTGATTATTACCCTGTAGCAGTCTAGTCAAATTTGCTGGTCGAAACGTTCGAATTATTTCCAATTCAAATCAAATATAATCATTTATCGTGACAAAGAAAAGTGGATGAGTGATCTATAGTGGTAAATAAATCCCTAAAAGAAATAGCTCTGTAAGTTTTTGACATTAAATTCTGACCACATTAGCTTTAATAGATTCATCTAGCTGAAGGTGCTCGATCATGCATCTGCACCAGATCACGTGTGGGAACGCCGTGCTCAACATCTACTACAATCGCTAGCCAGATTAGATCAGACGATTCTCGATATATTGATAGCCTATTAAATATATCTTCGAACCTCATCGCTTCTGTCTTTTGATTTCATTTGATGGGTACGTTTCATATTAAAAGGTGTTACTGGTTAAATTGTTGTCAAACTCCGAATACCTGTGACATCTTCATCCTCATTGCTCTGAAATATTTTATTAAATCCCTGCATTGCCTAACCATTAATTATCACTTAGACGAACATTTACGGATAGACCATAAACAATAGTACGTGCAAAAAATATCTCGTGAACAGCCTATAAACTATTGAATTTGGTTTCTAACTAACTGCCAACACTGTAAGGAAGAGACGTAATATTTACTTTAAAAGTTCAACCTTACTAAAATGATTCATTCTAGATGTTTCTTCTGTTAATATCTTAGATCAGAAATGAATAATTCTGTTCTGTTAAGTTTTATTCATAATAAAAGAAGATCATTTAAATCATTTAACATGAAATCCACAGTATATTAGATTTATAATAATGAGAAAAATACAAAGTACAGTACAACAACAGTTGATATTGTTGTGAATAGACAACTGTAATATGTTTCATACTCTAGCCGATAGAAAGTTCATTTACATAAAATCGAATATTGAATCTATGTAATATTGTCTTCTTTATGTTAAATATCATCTAAACCCTAGAATAATAAAGGAAACATAAATATATTATATATATGATATAATCATTATAAGAAACATTGCCATTTGAATTCCCATTTTCACGGTGGAGATGTGGATGAGCGTTGGAGTGTGAATAAGGCTGTGACGAATGTGACGAAAGAGGGGAAATCACAAGTAGGCGAGAGAGGGTCAGTCTCAGTAGACATAAACGGTGAGACTGTGACACAGGTAGTTTGTGAGGACAAGATGGTATCAGTTAGTGAGCACGAAATTGTGGACAACGAACAACAAGGTGTATCACGAGCACCCGATGTACGTTGGGAGTCACGAATCGAAGCGATGCCTGAGTCGATCGGCCACATCAGCATGGATGTAGAAACGAACACGGTTCCGACGCCGTCATCGACTGAGGACAGACTGCAGCCGGGTACCGTGTCGGATGCTCTACAGTCAGTGGGACTATATGAGAAGACAGGTTCATACGGGAACAACTCTGTCGGTCCGGATGACAGTAAGGAGGATGAGGAAAATGTGTCACAATCCGGTCGAACGAGCAGACTGTAAGCTATTGAATTTGGTTTCTAACTAACTGCCAACACTGTGAGGAAGAGAAATAACATTTACAGTTGACATTGTTATGAATAGACAACTGTAATATGTTTCATACTCTAGCCGATAGAAAGTTCATTTACATAAAATCGAATATTAAATCTATGTAATATTGTCTTCTTTATGTTAAATATCATCTAAACCCTAAAATAACGAAGGAAACATAAATATATTATATATATGATATAATCAATAAAACAAATTACCATTTGCATTCTCATTTTTACTGTTTCATTTGATAATAATTCAAGTTTTTTATCACGTTCTTCTAATTGATTTTTTAATGTATCAATTTCATAATCTTTGCGTTTTAATTTCTCTTGAATAAATTTTCTTTGACGTTGTTCCTTGTTTGTGTTTCAGAGAAATGTGAATGATTAATTGATATACAAAATGTAAACATGAATGTTATAATGACAAAGATACATAGCATGATTGATTTATGGATTAGAGTTAAAATATGATATCCCATATTCAGTTATATGAGTACGGAATTCATAGTCTAGTCAGTTAGTTATAATGTAGTACCAGATATACATATGCATCGATCCAAGTTGTCATAATCCATTAGCACAACAAGATAAACACCGAATTCATAGGAGTAGTTACTTTAATGGTGGTAATATATGGAAGAAAGATTGCATATAAGAATATAGTACAGAAAGGGAGAATTAGTTCGTAGAAAGAAAGATATGAAGCGATCTTAATCTCATAGTTCAAGGGAAGACAGATAGTGTATACAACTACGCCATTGTGATCGATTCTGAGCCATGTCACTCAGAATCTCCGACCATTGGTTACGATAGTCACGCGGATTCCAACCAAGTAATCTATGTCTACCAACATGGCTCAGACTGGAAGTTAGTGACTCCAAGCACTGATACCACGTTTTACTTTGTCCAGTCACTTACATATATCTCGTGTAGTTCACTTAATATTGAGTAATTAAATCTAAAATTGTTGACATGATTATTCCACAAAATATGGTCTACATGTAGACGACAGGATATTTGGTTGAGACATATGGCTCGTGAAAGTGAGAGGTGGGCATAGGCTGAAAGTTGTTTTGTTCAAAGAAGATTAAATTGTGGGTAACTCTTGGGAACTACTTATGAACTCTTATTATGTATACTCTCATTGTATAACTGTTAAGTAACTAGAATATACATATTTATTTCTCCTATTATAAGCTTTCATCTGACATATTGCCTACTATTGTACGATCTACTATTCGGAAGTTATTCCAATCTATTAGTTACAGTCTCATACATTCACAGGGATTCGATCCAAGGGTCTCGCACGCGAACGCTTAACCTCTAGACCACTGGGGCGGCCGGGATCCAACGGTGTTAATGTCTCACTTTAACCAATGCACAAAACTGCGCCACCGCCCAGAAATGTCTTCAGTGAGTTACTGTCTCACAACATACCCGGTTGAACTCCACTGGTTGTAACGCAATTTCGTGAATTGTTTGAAGTAAGAAATTAAAACCATTACATCACGGCCTGCTCAGTGCTCTAGAGATTACACGTTCACGTGCAACGCCCTGGGATCGAACCCCGCAAGCGGGGTCGTGGATTTACACTACTGAGGAGTCCCATACTAGTGTGGTGCGGGTTACTTATATTCACACAGGTAGTATATGACAGTGGTCAGGCATAGAATGTATTTAGTAGAAGGTCGATGAGGAAAGAATGGGAACGGAACGCAATTAGTATGGAAACGTATGAACAATAAAATCTGAGACAATAGATTGATGTTTGCAACAGGAACAGTCGAGTTTGGGATGATGGATTGATATTTTGCAAATAAACGATTTACTATATGGTTCTCAGATGTTATTGAGATGCTTTGTAATTTTGTGCTCAAATACATTCGATTGTCCCCACTGGTGTTCTTATTTACTACACTAAGAAGAAACGGCCGTCCAGTGCTTTCAGGTTTTTGTGTTAGTCTAGCTTTAATTAACTCATGAACCCAACTATTATGTATATGTGCAACAACATTACTTACCTTGTCAGTTTGTTCATTGCATGATTGGCGAGGTTTTTTCTTCTGTGATGGAATTACCTTAATTGAACTGACATTGGAAGTTGGTGTTGAATTCTATCGCAAAAAAAAACAAATAAAGCATAGCTATCAACTGTCTTAATTGAAATCAGATATGGTAAATATGATTTTAAGGGAATATCTGGTGTTAAATAATTAATGATTTCGTAGGTGCTAAATTTGATGAACGTAACTAATCAAGGCATGAAATCATTCATTTGGTCCATTTCAGAGTATACTATCCCTCGATTGAAATGATTTTTATGTCTACTCAATAGTGAATTTAGTTGTCTTATCATTCAGCATATCTACATGTGATTAGTATATATATATATATATATATTTTTTCGTACTAGTCTTGTTATCTTCTTTCATTTGTTAGGCTGTAACGGAAAAAGAACGATGAAAATCCCTAATCAGTTTTTTGTTGGACAGTGTTTTTCATTCATTCGTTTCTTCTCCCTGTTATATATTTCAACCTTTGTTCATATCTCGTTTCAGCTTTTATTATGTAATTTTGATTGAAAACTTATCCCTTTGTTACATAATTTTATTGCATGTTGCCGGACTATTGACAGTTAGGTCGTGTTTGACTAAGCTCAAGGTCGCGGCGTGATTAAGTGTGACTGCTAACCCTTTGACTGTCTGCTTGGGAAGATTTCTGGTATCCCTGCAGATAGATATTTTGATCCCGTTTGTTGGGAATATATTTGTTGATTCTCAGGTATTAAATTCTTTGGTGTTGACTGTTTCTTTTATTTTTTAGCGCACTACTTTGCGTTAGAGAAACTTCTGACTGTATAGCACAGGCTGTACCGTTTGAGGTATTTTGTATTTTTGATATAATTTGTTCTATTTCTTAAATTAGAACCGTATAAATTGAGCACAGAATTTGTGTTTTGATATAATTTAATACGAGTGTCTCAAAAACGCTTGGCGTGCTATACGGAAGATCGTAGTCTGACCTATTCGAATAAAATTTGGTTCGTCAGTCCTACGTTCAGCCCGAATACTGGTAGTTCGGTCGTTACAAGGCTATGTACGACAACTGGAGGCTTCGAAGAAATCTACCATCATGATCGTGAGATTCAACCGCACCATGTTCTTATTATGTGTTTTTGATGTAAAGATTGGATAATGATGATCATATATAGGTGAAATGTTTGACTTTGTGGAAGGTTTATCTCACATTTGACTTGTATGAACCTATTCGAAACAATATTAACGGTCCTTGTAAGATGATTTTTAAAAATATCCATAGTTTGAAGCCTATAATACACAATCATCTTTTCAACTAAAATTCAAAGAAAACTTTTGGTAGGTATCATTGAAATATCGATGAAAATAGTTAACAAACCATTAATAAAACAAAAGGTGCTTGTTTAAAATGGAGTATTTGCAAACTAATCAAGGATTTGTGTGCACTGACCCTAACCTATCCTACCCCCCAAATGCCCTGGTACGACCGAAAGTAGGGAGATTCAACTCTCGAAATGCTCTCACATGGTCACGTGCATACAATCACTGCCAGAGAAGTCTTGCCCACTGCTTCCTGGCGGCAGGGGTGTTTTTTTACGAAAATGAGAGAACGAAAAGCGAACGTTTAGCACTTTAACTGGGTTGGTAAACACAGAGAGTTCATCTAGGGGAGTTGAAAAACACTCATTCTAAATCCATGGTGCACATGGACTCCAGTATCCTGAAGGATCAAATGGTGTATGAACTAATCGTTGGTCACCGGTTAACATAGGACTGCATCTCTTTACGGTGCTCCACTGCCTTGTGAATCAAACCTTTAGGTTGACGGCTCCGGGTGTGACCCCCTAAAAAAACCACCTGTTTCTGTTTAGACACGCAGACTGTATCCCAGCCCTCACAAAAATCGGATGATTTATGCGGCTCATATATATTTGGTGTCTTCTTGTACCAATGTTTATGTATTTAAGTAAATAAACTATTTGTATCTTTTTACGGACGTTTCCTGTATTCACACACTAATTCATATACCCTGCTGTATGATAGCATTGAATAGTACATTAACCAAAAGCCAACATATGTTTTTATTTACTTATGGATACAATCAAAACTTACTCTTGACTTTTTAAATGCAGCTACTGAACGTTGTTCATTCAATAATGCTTCACGTGTCCTATCTAAACTTTGACGTAATAATTGAATTTCTGTTTCTTTCGAGCGTAATTCGTTAATGAATTGATCTAATTGTTCACTTTTTGCATCTGCCAATGCTTCAGCTTGTCTTTACAACAATAAAAATATACAAAAAATATTTCGTTGATACAGACGAAGTCTTGTGGAGATTGGTATAATCATTAGATTGTATTTGTCAAAAATTGATCTCACTTTCGACACCAGTGAAAAGCGGAGAGGACTATATGATAATTTCGTCCTAGTATAATACTTCTCGAGAATATCATGAAAGAAACAACCATCATTAATGGTCATTGGATGGTCTTCCCGACAGTGTTTGTTACCTTGACGTGGTGGTCGGGATTAACTATTGTGATGATTCAGCCGGGTTGTACTAGATGGAATGATTGTTTCTTTAGGTTCTACCTTGCCGGGTAGGTTGGCTGAAGAATGATTACACTAAAGGCAGAAAAGTCTCACATCTGATTGTAGGGAAGTGTGACTGTAGTAAAGTGTTTGTCTTTGACAACTAGCATCTGTAGAAACGCTATTTTCTCACATCCGAAGGAAGGGGTTAAAAAAGTCAAGCTTAAAAATATCACACCTGACACAACTCCAGGAATTTCCTTCTCCGTCGCTATGGCTTAATGAAGTGCCGAACTAACGTATCAAAAAGGCTGTGCGCAACCAGCCTCAAGCAGTTGTTCATTGGGCTCTGACGCCGATGGAGTATAAATCCAAAAGGCAACACGAAGCGCCGACTACAGTCTATTTATTAGATAGCGCAGATAACAAAGTTACGATCGTTCCAAGATAATTTCAGCGAGCAAGTGTATAATTGCTGGTCTCAAATAACTACGCTTTGAATTATTTTTTAGAGTTGATAATGTTTGAATGTTGTGTTATATAGGAAAACATGCTTCTTCAGTCAGGACTTTGAGATTTAAGGTCAACGATATATGCTGAGTTTCCGAAACGTGTACACAGAATACGAACATAGTTATCCATCTGACCTCCCCTGTCAACATAACGAACTGACACGAGTTACTCTTTGTGTATCTGGAAACACCACTGCTAATTTCCGTCGTCTAACTGATATAGGTATAGCATTAAGTTCAAAGTAAAACAGACTCTCCTTGACTAGACTTTTTTTAGGCAGTCGATTGTACACAATCCGAATAAACTGACAGTAGGAATTCGAAAGATAGGGACATACATCGTCACCAATCTGTTGTCTCTGTCTACGATCCCACTGTTTGCAGCACGGATGTAGTTAGAGATAAGTTTTATATGAAGCTATTCAACCTTCTTCAAAAAGCTAAACGCTCTGACCTAGTAACAGTGGCAAGTGATTTCAGAGCTCAGGTAGGTAGAACAAACTAAACCAAAAGGCACTTTCGGAGATTTTACGGTGTTGCGGCTCAAAAAACTGATAATGGTGAGAGTACGTCGCAACTATTTCTAGCAAACAACAATTTTAGGCATCGGAAAAAATATGTGGCGACCTCACAATTAAGACAACGACGGACTTAAACAGACCACATCGTCGTCAACCATTGTTGAAGAAGCTGGATTGTAGACTGCCGCTCAATATACAGAAAATGTTTAGACTCAGATTTTGCTTCAGTTTGAGCAAGTATCTATTTGTATTTTATTGGACGTAGAAATCCACTGCAAGAAAACACCTTAGTAATGAAAGGGTTGGGAATATATTTCAGTAACAATTTGAGAAGGAGATGGCCATCCATGAAAGTGATATCCATCCCGAAGTAGCTTGGCGTGATATCCTGAAAGCTAAGGAATCAGCAATTTTATTTGTGAGAAACTTAGATCAAAACATTTAGAAAAGTCTGTGGATTTTCACAGAGTCCACAGGATTTATAAATAATCAGAAACTCATCCCATATGGCTCTGAAGACGATGAGGAGCGAAGAGAGCTTGAACGCAGATCAATAAAAAGCCAATACAATGATCGTAGACAGTAGCGGGTAACGAAAGCGGAAGAGATGAAAAGAAGGAAGTGTCAAGTAACAGTAGACAACTGCTCAGATCTATCAAAGAAACGGGTATTAAAATTCTGGCTGTTAGTGGTAGTATCTGAAGAAAAGACACGCTGGTTTCAGACCTTGACGTGGATGTATAGACCAAATATTCACTCTTCCAGAGATTTTGAAACATAGACATATTTTTCGACGTCCGACTATAGTTGCATTCATCAACCTTTAAGGCGTGGTTTGACTCTGTTGATCGCAGGGTTCCGGGCAGAGTTTATTACTGGAAGGGGCATCAAAAAAACACATAAATCTTGTACAGGCATTCTACTCAAACATTACTAATCGAATTGGGGCCCATGGAGGACTATCATTGGAACAGGTTCGTTATGGGGTTGTCTAGTTTACCTATTTTTAATTAACTTTTTCATAGACATGCTCTTAGTACAAACAATCTCATCGTTTGACTTCTCAAATGTTAGTCTCCTAACAGGAAATTAGCTTGTTGACTGAGAATACACAGATGATATAGTTCTTCTTGATGAGGACTGTGACAAAATGCGAAATCTTCTGAATACCTTAAGCAATAATACCAACGTGTTTGGGATGCCGTTCTCCTCGTTCAAATGCAAAATGTTGCTTCATGATTGGCCCGCGTCAGCGCCTGAATCAATTATCTGGAGTGAAGTAATTGCGTATGTCGACCACTTCGCTTACCTTGGCAGTCTCACCAGTCCTGATGTCCTGGTGTTAGATGAAATCTCTGCACGGATTCAAAAGGTTCGATTTGCTTTTGCTAATCTAGGTCACTTGCCGAGTAGACGAGATATCATTTTGCCAACTAAAGAAAGAGTTTACTGCGCATCAGTTTGCTATGTCCAACTTTATGAGTATGAAGCCTGGGCATCAAGAATGAAATATGTTTGTAGGCTACCATTATTCGATCAAAGGTTTATTCGAAACATGGCTCATGTATTTTGGGACCACCGAGTAAGTAATACGTGGGGGTAGGAATTAAGTACCAGGTAGGAGTGGCAAATCGATTGATTAGGTATTAAATCCTCATGATCAACCGAGGTGAGTGAGACATGTATTACATATTGCCAAACGGCCACCTACCTCGACGGACGATGTTGTCTGGTGTAGGGCTGGTTGCAAGAAAGCTAGGGGTAGTCAACCTAAAACACAGCATCAGTTTATGAAGCCATTTACGACTCGAATGAGGCACGTTAGCAGATGTAGACTACCTTGTTGGAGTCCACATAATTATCATAACCAGTGGTTGGACACTGAATGGCGCGGCTCAAAATCGTTTGAAATGTCATAGGCGCACCCACCTTTTGCTTTTCTTCAAAATCTGAGTTTATAAATTCCTTTTAACTCTTTTAGTTTTTTTCTCTGAAACTGATATTCTCTTGGGTCTTATCTTCGATGCTTAAACTTCGGAATCACCACTGATACTGTTACTAACCCTACAATTCTGTGGTCTGGTTTGATAATTTAATCTCTCTGTGTGGGGTAGAAGCTTGAACCTGTGAACATAAACACGGGTTCTACGTTGTGATTGTTATACTGATTAGGTGATTGCAATGAAGTTGGAGTTGCACCATTGTATTATTACTCACCCGTCCTAAAGGCTAACCGTTTGCCTCGAAACCTAAAGGTGCGAGGTTCGATCCCTAGTTGGATCGAGGGTGCGCACTGATGAAGACGGAGCAGTGAAAAATTTTGTCTTATTACCTAGCCGGGAAGATATCATTTTTTCTATTCGTATTTACAATGAGCTACAAAACTTTAGTTACAATATGGTTTTAAGTTCGACTGTAAATGATTGATGGTTTGGAAATAGAGTTACTGAATTCACTATTGATTGGTAACTGGGTAGTGACTAATTTTTTGTGTGTCAGGTCCTTCTTACTGCAGATCGAATCCTATCGACCAAGTAGCAAAATGGCCACCAGCCTTGGTGACTGAAAACTGCGTGCATTATGTTGAGATAAGATGGTGGTTGGAGATGGTCAACAAGAAACCTCGCAATGTCGAGTCAAGTAGACTTGTGACAACATTGAAACTTGATCTGCACTAAGAAGGACTTAACATACATGAAATAGATCACCAACCAGTAGTCAATCAATTTTGAATACATCTGAGTCCTACAGGAGGTCAGTCGCGGTCCGAATAGCTCAGTGCTAACGTCTCTGATTGTGAAGCTGGGTGACACAGGATTGGATCCGTCAGTGAGCATCAGCTCCTTTAAGTTTACAGGTAAACCCTACTGACGCGTGCCAAGTAGCACGACACCTGGATTCAGGGTTTCCTGTTGACTATCTTCAACCACAATCTTCGTTACTGAATTGTTTTAGATGATAATCTACTTACTTCAATCGACTCATATCACGTTCATATTCATTGAGTAAATTTTCTTTATGTTGAAGTTGATCTTTTAATATTTCAATTCTTCGCGATAATAGTTCAATTGTATTCTGGCGTTCTTTTCTAACTGTTTCTCTTTCTATTTTTGGCACTTGAATAAGTGATCTTTGACCTGGTAGACGATCTAAATCTAAACGGCTTGATATTGATCGGGCTAGATTTAAATAACATTCTTCTGAAGTCTGTAAGCAAAATATAAAAAAACTTACCATTTATTGGTCTTATATATCATATGAAATAAGATGTTAGGTGCTTAGGTGTAGTACATTTTAGATGATTCAACCATGATACTCGACTGTTTTCATTCAGTCTTTGAAAGCGGTTAACTACTTATCAGCAAAGAAAATGTATGATTTTAGTTTTACAGAAGTGTTCGTTGACCTATTAATATTAACTAGCTCTACTGTACTTGAACTAATTATACTCATGATTAGGATTTGTTATGCTATTACATTTCAGTGATCACGGAATGGTTGTCTTTAAGCTTCAATTAGAATAGGAAGAATGATATCCGATATGCTTTCTATTTGTTAGCTCGAAAAATACATGATTATATACATAATTTACAGGACCACAGTTGCATACTTACGCCCGTTATCAACAATGGAGCATAGGTCGCCAACCAGCATTCTTCAATGCACTCTGTCCTCCACCTTCCTTTCCAGTTCTTTCTAATTATTTTCCGTTCTCCTCATGTCAGTCCGTCTCCATTTCCTAGCGTTATGTGTTTTTTGGTCTTCCTCTTCTCCTTTGGTCTTGAAGATTCTAAGTGAGGGTTTGCCGTGTGACGCAGTTAGGTGCTTTCCTTAATGTGTGTCCTATCCACTTCCAGTGTTACTTCTTGATTTCTTCCTCTGCTGGGATCTGATTTGTTCTCTCTTAGTAGGTTGGCCAAGGGATCCGAAGTATTTTGCGTAAACAACTGTTAATAAAAATTTGTATCTTCTGGATGATGGCTTTCGTAGTTTTCCAGGTTTCCGCGCCATACAGTAGAAGTGTCTTGACATTTGTATGGATAATTGTGACTTTGGTGTCGGTTGACAGTTATTTTGATTTCCAGATGTTCTTCAATTGTAGATACGCTGCTCTTGTTTTACCGATCCGCGCCTTCACATCTGTATAAGATTTACCGTGTTCACCAATGATTCTGCCCAGATATGTAAAGATTTTTACATCTTTCAAAGCTTCTCCGTCAAGTGTGATTCGATTGGTGTATGTTGTGTGAATAATAATGGTTTCATGCTCAGTGAGTGTTGAGTGATATGTTTACTGAGGTAATCTATAATATCAGGGGTTTCCAAAGTACTAACATAATGCTCATAATTAAGTATTTACGTACGATAAATTTAGTATTGCAAGGACATTTATAAACGTCCAGTACCTCCAATGATAAACAGCAGAGACAATTACGTCAGTTATCATATTACCGTATGTCTCTATTGTCAATGAATAATACATAATTTACAAACAATTCTATCATCCGGTTGTTGTCATTTAGATATGTGTTTTGATCAATCTTTGTTGACATGTGTGAATCCTGATTGCCAGATATGAGTACTCCCAATTGAGGAGACACAAATTAGAAGAAAAGCGTTTTATAGGTCCCATTTTTGGTTAATATCTTTTCGTCAAGGCTTATAATAGTAATTTTAACTAGTTCAGATCATGAGTCACTTGAAGCTAGATCACCATGGGAAATCTTGAAGTACTGGACGGCCGTTTCTTTCGATTGTGGGACTCCTCAGCAGTGCACATCAACAATCTCGCCTCGAGAGTTTCGAACCTAGGACCTATCAGTCTCACGCACGAACGCTTATCCTCTAGACCACTTTAACTAATCCAAGAAATTGAGTGACGCATCCACCATTGTTTTCAGTGAGTTACTATCTCACAACAAACCCGATTGAACTCCACTGGTTACTGCTTCTCACTAGAACTCCAGGAAATACCTCTTGAAGCCAGTCAGTAGTGAGCATATACTGATTAATATCAGAAGGTGTTTATGTGGATATCATATTAATTTTTAATAGTTAAGATTATGAATCCATTGAAGCTAGACCACCATGAAAAATCTGAAAACACTGGATGGCATTTTCATCCTATTGTGGGTCTCCTCAGTAGTGAGCATTAACCGTAACGAAGAACAATGCAGTGCCATTTATCTTTGATACAGTTTTCTAAGATTATTGAATATGTTTTTTCAATAGACTTTTATGGACAATTACCATTATAATATGGAAATGTGCCATTTATTGGTCAACGATCATTTTAACTTATCTAAATAACTAGAAATCATCGCAAATTATTATTCTTTCTATAAAAAAGGCTCGCGCGCGAAATCAGTAAGTCCTGGGTTCGAATCTCTCAGGGGGAGAGATCATCGATGCTCACTGCTGATCAGTACCATAATAGGACGAAACGGCCGTCCAGTGCTTCCAGGTTTTCCATGGTGGTCTAACTTCAATGGACTGATGATCTTAACTATTGAAAAAGTAATCTGTTTAGCATAGCAACAAATGAAACATGAACGATACTGGACAGCTACTTCATCATTGTATAGATCTAGTTAACAGTGTTCAGTTATAATTAATTCATAGACAGAACCTTAAATATCCTTGTATCCATTACATTAGTGAGTTCAAATTCCATGGTTTTGTTGGGATGATTCAGAAAATTCCTCGTAAAAGATACGTAAAGATCAGGAAACATTAAGAAGCATTTCATCCAATCAGCGTTCACTTGGAGTTTAGCCAAAAACATTGAGGATATGAAACGTCACATGTAGAGGTTCTGATTAGCTGATTGCTATACTGCTACTATGTTTAGTAGCATTCCAGAATCTTCGAACAACCCAAGGACATTTAGATTATTATAAAAAACTCTATATTTCCTGTATTAAAATGAACCTTGTTGTAAAATACTTTTCGCATAGTTTGCGCCTTCTCTCTCGTGTTCAGTTCGCTGTATAGTTCTAGCTTGTGGGGAGAGATGTTACAAGAATAGCTTAGGAACTAAGTACAGCGTTCAAATTAACAAGACTTATCAAGTTTAAATATTCAACTTTAAACAATTCACACTATTCAAATTGAATCATTTTCACAGACCTCCATTAATCATAATGATCTACTACATAATGAACTGAAAAAAAAACAAACAAACAAAAAACAAAACTAACATATAAAGCATCCATTGCATTTCTTAAACCAATATGATCCATTTTTGGTAATATTTGACCAGTCACTTGATCAACATCATTATCATTATCATTACCATTCATGATATCACTTAATGCAAGTGTAGTATTATTTGTTAATGCTTTTATTGATGGAACTATTTCATTAAGTAGTGATTTACTACGTAATTCAGCATTTTCACGTTTCAATTTAGATAGTTGAAGAATTAATTCATCATTTTCTGTATTACCTATAAATAATATGAATAATAGTTAAATAAAATCTTTCAATCATTTAACCATTTATAAATCCCTACATATAAATATTGGTAAAAGAAGACATGAAATAGATATGTGCTACATAAATCATTCGATTACTATAAGGGCTAGAATACTACTTGGGTGTCCAAAAACTGAACAAGGTGGTTTTCTTAAGGAGGTCACACTTGGAGCCTTTAACTTAAAGATATAATCCACAAGGCAGTGGTCCAATGTTAGAAGATGTTATCTCATGATAGCCAGTGAAAACTTCACTTATATTGGAAATCTGATCAGCTGTAATGGGTTGATGTTTGACGAAATCTCGGCATGAATTCGAAAAGCTAGTTTGGATTTTGTCAACTTACTTCACCTATGGCGAAGGTGAGATAATCGTCTATCAATAAAAGGACGAGTATATTGCACGACAGTTCGTTCTGTTTTATTTTACGGCTGCGAAATATGGCCATTAAGAGTGGAAGATACTCATAAGCTACTAATATTTGACCACAGATGTCTTAGAAATATTGTTCACATCTCCTGGGATCACCGGGTAAGTAATAGTGAGATTAGACGCACGGTATTAAGTAATGATGGTAAATCAGTTGATGAGGTTGTGAATCTTCATCGACTGAGATGGTTGGGCCACGTGTTGCGTAAGCCTGAACACCGAATACCACGACGTACAATGCTAACCGGTGTTGGGGATGGTTGGAAGAAAGTTAGGGGTGGTCAAACCAAATTGTGGTATCAGTGCTTGGAGATACTAACTTCTAGTCTGAGCCAGACTTCTTGGTTGGGGTCCGTATGACTATCATAACCAGTAGTGGTTGGAGACTGTGTGTGACGTGGCTCAGGATCGATCACAATGTTGTTGGTATATACACAATCTGTCTTCCCTTAAACAAAGAGATTAAAATCACTTCATATCCTTGTTTCTACGAACTAATTCTTTCCTCCTGTACTATACTTTTACATGCAATCTTTCTTTTATATATTACCACCATTGAAGTAACTACGTCTATGACTTTGGTGTTCATCTTGCTGAGCTAATGGAGTATGGTAACTTAGACCGATGCATATATGTGCCTAGTTCTACGTTGTAGCTGACTGACTGACTGACCATTTATTCCCTCAGGATCCTTAATCCCATGTACATTTGGAATCAGAGTGTTCCAATTCCATTAAGTTAATCCTCCATATCCACCAACACGGCTAAGGCGTCGGACATTCGCTTTTCGTCTTTTCAGTTTCATAAACAACACCCTCGTCACGAGGAAAAAGTGAGTAGAACTTCCCTGGTAGTGGTTGTATGCACGTGGGCATATGAGAGCATTTCGTGAGGGACAGTTGACTCTCACTACTGCTAGCCGTGCCAGAGCATTTTGGGGCAACTATTTTACGATTAATAAATTCCAACGTATTACAGATTATTCAATGCTGTGCCACATAACTTTTTCCTGAACCTTTAAGAAAAGTGTTTCGTTTAGTGACCTAAAGTATTCAAGACAATTATTAAGGTAAATGATAACTGTTTCTATATTACTATCATTGTAGTTGTGGATAGACATTTGAAATCTTGTAAACAACTGGAAGGTGTTAGTTTATCAGATATAAAATATCCACTTCATGTACATGTTTCTCATTGGGCAAAAGAATAACAGATACATTAGTATCTATATGCACCGATAAAAATACAAAAGGTCTATAATTAATCGAATAGGTTCAATGGGCTCACCTAACCTGTTGTACAAATACTTACTTCATTATAAAGATTTCATTAAAGATTTTCCACAAGTTTATTTACTTATTTTATGTAGATTTATATGTATACATATTTTTTTGTGAACTATGAGAAGACTAAGAAAATAAGATGGTGGTTGGAGGTAGTCAATAGAAAACCTTGAACTTAGTTTACGTGCTATTTTACACTCGTCAGTAAAGTGTACCTGATGGATTCAATCCCATGTCAACCAGCTTCAGAGACCATTAGAACCCTCAAGATTATAGGTAGATATTGCTGACAAGTGCCAAATAGCACAAAACCTAGGTACAGGGTTTTCAGTTGACTACCTCCAACCACTATCTTATTTCAACATAGTGCACACCCAATGTCGAGTCATCTAGACTAGTGGCCACATTGCAACTTGGTCGATAGCATTCGATCTACACTAATAACAACTTCACATTACATAACATTGATCATCACCCAGTGATCAATCAATTGTGACTTTAATAAACCTTAGTATACCCTCTATTACACTATTGTACAACACCACAGATGTTGAGTTAAGATCAATCTTATGATTTGTTTCAATTATGTGTAATTTGATTGATAGTAAGAGAATCTTGACATAGATGACATTGATTATCACCCAGTAATCAATCAATTGTTAAAAAAAAAGAAAAACTAAGAAGAACTTATTGAAATACTGTATTGTATAGTGAAAATTCCATATTTCATATTGAGTTTTTAAAAGCAAACAAAACTACAATGTGTCTACGCAAAATACTTCGGATCCGTTGGCCGGACACTATTAGCAACAACCTACTGTGGGAGAGAACAAATCAGATCCCAGTGGAGGAAGAAATCAGGAAGAAGCGCTGGAAGTGGATAGGACACACATTGAGGAAAGCACCGAACTGCGTCACAAGACAAGCCCTCATATGGAATCCTCAAGGTCGAAGGAAGAGAGGAAGACCAAAGAATACATTACGCCGAGAAATGGAGATAGATATGAGAAAAATGAACAAGAATTGGATGGAACTAGAAAAGAAGGCCCAGGACAGAGTGGGTTGGAGAATGCTGGTCGGCGGCCTATGCTCCATTGGGAGTAACAGGCGTAAGTAAAAATGTAAAAAAAACTACAATGTAAGTTTAAGCTATTATTGAAAATCTGTAAGCATTGAACAACCATTTTACATCTTAGTATGGGATATCTCAAAAATGTTCATCTATAATTCTACCTACAAGATTCTAACCGAGAACTGTTGATATTAAACAGAAATGCTTAACTTTTAAACTATTGAGTTGATACCTTATCGGATATAGAATAGTTATCTATTGAGAAAATTGTAAGTTGGTCATGTAATATTATAGACTAATCAAACTTATAAATCAATAATTCAATAATGTTTCCAGGTTATTATTATCATTATTATTATTATTATTATTATTATTATTAATGATCTATTAATTTAGATTAATTCACTTATTATAATGATTAAAATTTTTATTAAATTTACCTTTTGGTAATAAATACATATATTGATCATTATGTAATTGTTGTCTTAATTGATTTAATGCTTCTTTTTGTTTATTAATTATATCATAATGTCTTTCACCTTTACATGTATTACCTAAATCAATTAATTGTTGTATAAATTTAGTTGATGTATTATATTGTTTATTAGATTGAGTGAATTTCTCTCTTTCATTATTGATTGTCTCTTGTAATTGATGTATTTGATATTTATATTCATGTTTAGAATTTGTTAATTCTTGTATTGTAATTTGTAATTTTCTAAATACATTTGAAAAACAAACAAACAAACAAACAAACAAACATCAAAATCTCTTTTTTTGAATATATCATCATGAAAAGATATTGATTTTAGAACATTACAATTAAAAGTTTATTTATTATTTATTTATTTTAACACATAAGTATAGGTACAGGAAGGCACCAAATACATATGCGCCACACAAATCTCAATTGATTTGTGTGAGGGCTGTGATACTGCCCGGGTGCCCAAACCGAAGCAGGTGGTTTTCTTAGGGAGCCACATCCGGAGCCTTTGACCTGAACGTCTGACCCACAAGGCAGTGGGGTATCGTGAGGAGATGCAGTCCCATGGTAGCCGGTGACCAACGATTGGTTCATACGCCATTTGTTCCCGCAGGATACTGGAGCCAGCCCATGTACACCATTGGTTTGGGGTCCGGTTAAAGCGCAAGACATTCGCTTTTCGTCCTCTCATTTTTGTAAACAACAGTGATGCCACGAGAAGGCAGCGAGTAGGACTTCCCTGGCAGAGGCTATATACGCATGGCCATGTGAGAGCATTTCGAGAGGGAGAGCGGGCTCTCCCCACTCTCGGCCGTACCAGGGCATTTGGGGGTGGTGTCTCCTTAATTGCGGATAAATCTTTCGCCTTTTACAATTAAAAGTAGTTAACAGTGGAATCTAATTTGGTGCATGTTTTATCCTATTTGAGACTTATCATCAGTTGGATGTACTTATATCTCAGAGTTGATGATTTCTTCGGGACTTGAACCTAGTACTTTAAAATGCAGGTACATCCAATTGATGACAAGTCTCAAGCAAGACGAAACATGCGTTAAATTGGATTCTACCACGTATTCAATATAAGTTTTAAAAAACATCAAAGGTATATCGTATCGAAAATAGTTAACTATACAATCTAACTTAACATTTGATGAATGTAAATGAATTGATGTCATTTATAACCTCAAATGTTTTTTTATAAGATACATTTTATCCATACAGTACTGTTTATAAACCATGTCTTATTTGATTGAATCAATAGAGATATTTAGTTTTATTTTGTATATAATATCATCATCTTTACAGATGAGTTTAAGCTTAATGTAGCCTAGAACGATCTGTTGATCTTGCCAGAAATAAGACCCCCACAACACTCCTTCTGATATTATAATAATTTCAATGGTTGCATTCATTAGTTAAATGAATCTATACCATCATGTAAAACCTAGAAGTACTGGACGTCCGTTTCATCCTATTGTGAGACTCCTCAGCAGTGCGCATCCACAATCCCACCTTGCTGAGGAGTCCCACAATAGGACGAAATGACCATCCAATTCTTTCAGGCTTTTCATAATGGTATAAATTCATTTAACTAATGAATACAACCATTGAATTACTATAATATCAGAAGGGGTGTTATAGAGGTCTGTTATGAGATATCACCTGACAGAAGACAATGGTATACGCTGACTTAACTTCGTGGATTGGTTGAAGTTATACATTAACACTATTGGATGCCAGCTCAGTGGTCTAAAGATTAAACGTTCACGCTTGACACCGATAGATCTTACGATCGAATCTCACAGGGGACGGCATCATGAATGCGCATTGCTGAGGAGTTCTATACTAGGACGAAACAACTATCCAGTGCTTCCAGGTTTTACATGGTAGTGTAAAATCATTTAACAGATGGATTCCACCAATGAAATCACTATAATATTCACACAAACCCCCCCCTCCTTCTGATAATCAATAAAATATAAGGAAATGATCATAGTGATTCACTTACTTTATATGCTCTTCTTTATTATTTAATTTCTCATTCATTTGTTCTAATGAATCTTTCATATTAGCTAATTGTATTTTAGTATTAGATAATTCATCATTGATTTTTTTATTATCATTTAATGCATTTTCAATTTGTTCTTTTTGTAATTCCGGTAATTCACCTTTAATATCACTTAATTGAGCTTGTGTCCCTTGTAAATCAGAACGTAATACTTCTATAATAGATGTTTGATCTTTAATTCTATTTTGTAATTGAATAATTTCAAGTCTATATTATTATAATAACAGAAAATGAAAAGAAAAAAAATTTTTTTGGATAGTAACTAAATTGATCAATATGAAAAATAAAAAAAGAACATGGCAACAACAAAAGAATAGAGATTATGAAGGAATTTATAAGTCAAATGCTTTATAGGTTAAATTTAAATGTAGCCTATTAGTTGTTGAGGAGATCCAAAAAAAAATTCCTTGAAAAAAAAACAAGCTAAGAAAGGCTCTGAAAAACACTGAGAAGCATTTTAATTCAATCAGCATTCAATAGAAGGTTAACCATAAAACATGAACAAAGTGAAAAGTGTTGAGATGGCTTTCAGAGAACTGCTTTCATAGGCCCTGATGAAGCAGAAGGGTTCTAGCCAATCACAGCATGATTGAGCTTTCCAGAATATCAACGTAGCGTGCTACTATTGGTCAATAGCATAATATGTCTTTTAACGGATTGGCCGAAATATAATGTTGATTTAACAAATGTTAACATTTATAAATACACGTGTTTTTCTGTACAAAAATGAACTTTTGCAGTAAAGTACTTTTTCGTATAGTTTGCGCCTTCTCTCTCGTGTTCAGGTCGCTGTATAGTTCTAGCTTAGGGGTTACAAGAATAGCTTCGGAATTGAGTATAGCGTTCAAATAACAAGACTTATCAAAAAGTCACATGTTGACTTTCTGATTGGATGATGACTTATACTGCTAATACGTTTAGCAGTATTCCAGAATTTTCGAGAAACCTAAGGATATCTAAAATACTATAAAAAACCCCTAGATTTTCTGTATATAAACGAACTTTTGCAGAAATGTGTTTCTTACATATTTTGCACTTTTTCTCTCATGTTCAAGTCTCCGTGTAGATCTAGCCTGGGGGTTACTAGAAGAGCTTAGAAACCGAATATAGTGTTCGATTAGCAAAACTTCTCACTAGTCCAAGTGACTTGTTATCACATACACTACTTCGAGATGTTAGGTCATTGTAAGTAAGTAGGTAGAAGACTCTATAACTAGGTTTCTTGTTATTCGAGAATCTTCACTCAGATGTATATGCAGTTCTGAAGAAACAGATGAGCATTATGGAACTTGAACTAGAATCACGTAACTTTACAATCTGAAATGTTATCGTTGAATTATTCAAGCCGAAGTTTGACCCTCTTTTAGACTGAAAACATTGGAATTGTCTCTATTTGTATCTATAAGGATGAAGAATTAGGCAATACAAACGTTAGATAACTAACCAGTGGGATTAAAACTCGTCGTAAATTCATCATCTTAAATGTTTTCTTTCAACTACACATTTACAACACTGTTGATATGAATACTGTTAGATATGTGTAGTTGATGCCATTACTTTACATTTGTTTCAAGAGATTTTAATTATTAGTGTATTGAATTGAAAGCGGTTCACAATAGTTGATTGAAGTTGACTTCATACATTTTAATCAAATCCCGACAGTGAAACATGGCCGGTAAGAGTAAAAGATATTTGTAGGTTACTAGTATTTGATCATAGGTGTCTTCGAAACATTGCTCGTATATCCTGGGACCACCGAGTAAATAATGTAGTTATTAGATGGTGGAGAAGATTTGTAGCTCAGGTGGATGATTTTGATGGAGTTTTGTTCTCTGAGCTGGATGGTTTGGTCGTGGAGCTTTCATCGTTCTTCTGAACGAAATCATCTGCAACACAAACTTCAGATAGAAGTGAAGTGTTCTAATTTCTCCATATGTGCTTCACAGCGTGTTCTGTACACTTCGATGTTGATTGGTTCTTATTGACCTTGAATTTGTGATTGTTTACTTCTTTGTTTTGGTTGTGTCTTCCATTGGTTTGATTCTTGTTCCTATATGTGTGCATAAGTTTCCTGATTGGTTGATAAATCGGATCGATTTCAATATGTTTGTTGATTGCTGATTGACCTGAGTGCCAGGCTTCTAAAAATTCTTTGGTGTTTTTGGAATTTCCTCTGCCCGAGATTTCCACATTTTTCCAATCGAATGTGTGTCCGCAGTTGTCCATGTGTATTGATATAAGTGAGGAGATATCATGCCGTTTGACTGCTAGTTGATGTTCATGTAGGCACAGGTGGAGGGGGCGTCCGCTTTGTCCGATGTAGTGTTTGTCGCAGTTAACACAATTTATTTCGTAGATGATGTTCGATTTATCTTCTTTTGTTATTTCATCCTTTGGTTTGCATAGGATTGACTGTAGTGATTTTGTCGGTTTGTGTGCCACACCTATCCCGAAAGTTTTTAGCAGTCTTGTTGCGGTTTCTGATATCCCATTTATGTTCAAGAGGGCGAGGACACACTGCAGCACACTGGCAGCACGAAGAAAGGAAGAGAAATGCCTGAAGGAACAAAACTCCATCAAAATGTAGTTATTAGGAAACGGGGGCTAGGTAAAGATGGCGAATCAATTGATAAAGTAGTGAAAATTAATCAGTTGAGATGGCTGGGACATGTGTTGCGCATGCCCGACCACCAACTGCCCCGACGTGCTATGTTTTCTGGTGTACGAGTAGGTTGGAAGAAAGATAGAGGCAGCCAGACCGAAACATGGCACAATTCCATGAAGTCACTGACAAGTGGACCAAGCCGTGTTGGTAGGTGTAAACTATCTGGTTGAAATCTGTGAGACGATAGCAACCAATAGTTAGAGACGTTGAATAACATGGCTCGAAATCGTTTGCAATGGAGTAGCTGTATCCACTCTTTGTGTTCTCTCAAATTCTAATTTCCTGAATTATTCGTGTCTCTTTTTTTCTCTTTCCAAATTTATTTCACTGTATTATACTCTTTGAATAACATCTTCAAACCTTAATGTTTCTGATTACTGCTTATACTTTTACTGCCTCTACCACTATGGGATTTGAATCGAAAATTGTATCTGTGTACTAATGTTGTATGGCAACTCGAACTGATGTACGTACGTACGAAGTTCTACATAAACGGACCGAATAATTTAGTCAATCGGAAATCAAGACGTCAAAACTATAATTTATGGACGAGACAATCAGAATGCGTTTGATAGATTTTAAGGTCACGGTACCAATTTCAATACCTGATGCTCACATTCGATCAGTTCACAGAGGAATTTCGAGGAAACATGATAATTAAGTGACTACAACAAATGGGACTAATAATAAGTTCCTTTATTTATGATTCTGATAATCAAATGAATTGTGCACCTTGTACAGACTACCGTGATGAGATTGTCTTTCGATGTGATATGTGATGGAGGAAGACATCTTTTAGAATAGAACGTTCTCCCTCGATCCAGATTGAAATTATGCCAATCTATGACAATTGTTACGAACTGGATAATAAAAGCAAAAGTAACACTGGCTGAAGCCGGATACTACAATATACATATCATTTGCATCGTTATCCACAAGCGGTATTTTGTGAATTCAACAACTAGAGTGAACATAAACAATATTAAAGTTACGTGGTCGAAGCTGAAAGAGCTCTCGCGACCTTATCACGACTGTAGAGGTCCACTATTATGAATCTATGTGAATGATTCCATATACCGTATGCACTTAAGGTTCGTTCAAAGGTCATCCATATAGTATAGTCTTGCCCTTATTATTTGTTATAATTTCGTTAACTTACTTTAAATTATCAACCAATTTAGAATTTGTATTATCATCAATAGATGAATATACAGAAGATTGTTTATTTGTATCATCATTATGACGTGCTGATGTTTTTATTCGTAAAGATTGAAGACGATTATGAGCATCTGTTAAACGCGTTTGTAATTGTTTATTTTCACTTTGTAAATCTATAATTATAAATCAAAGAACAAATTAAAAAGTAGTTTATTTAAATGAATTTTATTATACTACTCATTTAGTTAGGGGGGGGGCAAACCAATACGTGGTATCAGTGCTTGAAGTCATTAACTTCTAGTCTTAGCCATGTTAGTAGATGCAGATTACTTGGTTGGAGTCCGTGTGACTATCGTACCCAGTAGTGGTTGGAGACTATGGGTGACATGGTACAGAATCGATCACAGTGATTTCAGTGTATACACTCTCTGTCTTCCTTTAAACTAATACAATAAAATTGCTTCATCTTTTTCATTCTACGAACTAATTCTTTCCTCCTGTACTATACTTTTATATGAAATCTTTCTTTTATATATTACCACCATTGACTTAACTACTTCTATGAATGTGGTGTTCATTTAGTTGTGTTAACGAGGTATGGCAACTTGAACCAATGCATATATGTGCCTGGTCCTACGTCGTAACTGACTGACTGACTGACCGACTGATTCATTTTAACATAACTTCTCATTATAGTTCAATGATGTTTGATTTTCATCTTATTTTCGATTGAAAATGGATCGTTGCTCTCTAAGCAGTTATCCTTATCAATTCGTTTATTTTAGATTTGTTTCACTTATTCACCAATATATGACAACAGTGATGTTGTGGTGCGCGCTACTTATATTGATATAAGTAGTATATGACGCGAGTTAAAAACGTAATGTCTGGCAGCAGATGATGGAGGAAGATCAAGATAGGAAGAACGGGAACACAATGCAATTTGTATGAAAAAGCATGAACAATGAAATGTCAGACAATCGATTGATGTTTGCATCAGGAACAGTCCAGTTTGATATGATGGATTAATATTTTGCAAATTAACGATTCACTAAATGGTTTTGCTATTTTATGGATCAACTCTGTAAGTCAGAGCCATGTGCAAGTTGGTTGTCCTCACCTATGTTCTCCTTCACTACAATGTGACTAAAACTTGTGATGTAACACATATATAAATTGGATTACACCTATGAAATATCAAATCCTGGTATAGTATTTTCAATTAGATTGAGATGAGTATGATTTCGAATTTTTTTATAGTGAATAAGTATTTGATAGAAAGCTGTTCATTTTAGTTTAACTGTGACCAAATACTCTCATCTGTAACATATACTAAAATAACACTTAGGTTCATATCATGGACTGATGTTGTTTAGATAACTATAGAAGACTAAGAATCACTGGATAATTGTTTTGTCCTAGTATGGGACACTTCGACAGTGTGTATCCATGATATCACCAAACTCAGAACAAAGACCAGATAGTGATAAAAACTATGGAATTCAATAATTTCCATAAACCTCTGTTATGGTATAATTTAAATGATCTATATTTCATAGACGGTAAATAATCATTCATTGTATAAAAAACATATTATTATCATCATAACAACTATGACACTTGGTATTATTTACTTGAATCTTCTCATTGATGTTTAGGATTGCAATTGATCAGTCTCTATTTGCATATGGATATACTATGCGTATGGCCTCGATAGTACCTTAATTCACAGGCATCCTAAGTAAAGATGGATAGTGGTTAGCAGTGAAATCCAGGACGCGCGTTTCGTTCTATTTGGGACTCTTCAGCTGGATGTACCGGCATCTCAGAGTTGATATTCACTCCAGGACTCGAACCCAGTACCATTCGCTTCAAACGTCATCACGTTATCCACTTAGCTACTGAGTCCTGATAGCCACTTGCTTGTTCAATGGGGTGGAGTTTAATTCACTTGGTATTATTTACTTGAATCTTCTCACTGATGTTTAGCATTGCAATTGATCAGTCTCTTATTAGCATATGGATATATTATGCGTATTGCCTCGATAGTACCTTAATTCACAGGCATCCTAAGTAAAGATGGATAGTGGCTAGCAGTGAAATCCAGTTTGATGCACGTTTCGTCCTATCTGGGACTTATCAGTCCCTATTTTATATTCATTTTTCTATGTGATACTAATCAATAGATTAAATCATAAAGAAGTTATCGAAAGGAATTTTATGACCTAAAATAACTACCTGTATTGGTACGTTTCAATTTTGTTACTTCACTCTTATTATCCTTTAATTGTTTTGTTAACTTGACTAAACGTTCTTCCATAACACATATTGTTCTAGCATGTTGTCTAACTTGTTCTTTATAACTATTCAATTCAGATTTCCAATGAGATTCACATTGTTTTTCAATTTGTTCATGTAATTTTATATTATCTTGATTTTGTTGATCTAATTGTAATTTCATTTCTTCTAGTTGATTTTCTTTTAATTCAATTTCTTTTTGTAATTTTGGTAAAAGTTCATTTGTTTCTTTGATTTCATTTAATTCAGTTTCATGAGCAATTTGTTTTTCAGCTAAAATCTTAAAATTCAGAAGAATATTATGATGAAAGACTGGGGATCTTAAGTGAAGTTATTAAAGATCAAACATAGAAGACAAAATACACGTTTCTATCAGGTGTGCCCTCAAATTCCCTGGTATGGCCGAGAGTGGGGTAGACCCGCCCTCCGTCTCGAAATGCTCTCACATATAGCCTCTGCCAGGCAAGGCCTACTCACTGCTTTCTCGTGGTGGAGGTGTTGTCTACGAAAATGAGAGGACGGAGAAAGCGAATGTCTGGCGCTTTAACAGGATTCCAAACCAATGGTGCACATAGGCTGGCTACAGTATCCCAAGGGAACAAATGACGTATGAATCAATCGTTGGTCACCGATTACCATGAGACTGCATCTCTTTACGATGCTCCACTGCCTTGTGGGTTAGACCTTTAGGTCGAAGGCTCGGAGTGTGGCTTCTTAAGAAAACCACCTGCTTCGGTTTGGACACTCGGGCAGTATCACAGCCCACACACAAATAAAATGAAAATTTGTGTGGCACATATATATTTGGTAGCCTCTTCTACGAATGTTTATTTGTTCAAACATTGAGAATGACTGGTTTCTCAAGTGATGCGAATGAAGAGAGCTAATCTTAGAATTCAAAAAATAGATACCAGTAATCTCATGAATGAACATCATAACATGATAAGTTTACACTACTGCTAACATAATATTTCCAACTTTACTATAATTATTAACAAATTAGTTTCAAGTTTTATATTCCATTGCTGCATTGAACAGATAGTTCTATAAATTCTAACTACTTAAATACTTTTCAGTAGTTAACAAATATTAAGTAAAACGTACGTAAACAAAATACAGAATCGTACTCTGAGACATATACTAAATTTTCTATGGCTGTTTTAAAAAACTTACCTGTTCACTGTATGATATATGTCATATCTAAACTTGATTGTTTTCTTCTGTGATAAAATTTGTGAGTTAGATGTTATACATTAGGGTCTTAATATATATTATCATCTTGAAATTGATGTTTTACGGATAGATTGACAGATGTTTAAGCTTAGAAATTACTAGGCGAATGAACTTTGTATCTACATTATACAAGAGATTCTATATTTAAAATCACCAGGCGATTAAACATACATGTATATTTACGGGGGCAACAATTTTTATGTACTGTATGTGTTGTAGGACATACATTGAGGAAAGCATTGAACAGCGTCACAAGACAAGCCCTCACATGGAATCCTCAAGACCAAAGAATGAGTAGAAGAACAAAGAACACATTACGCCGAGAAATTTAGATAGACATACATGAGAAAAATGAACAAGAATTGGATGGAACTAGAAAAGAAGGCCCAGGACAGAGTGGGTTGGAGAATGCTGTTCGGCGGCCTATACTCCGTTGGGAGTAACAGATGTAACTAAGTAAGTGAGTATTAATTTTAGGCGAATGACACTTAAAAATATAATCAGAGAGGGGTTTTGTGAATATTATAGTGTAGAACCAGTGAAATGTCACTGGGCCCTAGCCAGATCATCCGGCAGTTTAAATCACTGAATGTCGAACAGATCACTGATCCCCGTCAAAGTTAAGGACAACCAACGCACATCAGTTAATCGTATGCCATGAACTGGCTCATGCGGTGGTGGTCTCGCTATCATCTTTGTACTCATTCTTACTAATACATTTTCATAGTAACGTCCCTTGTGTCATACGATATTCAAAGCATCCATAGTGCAGTGACAAGTCGATGGGGAAATCCACGTTAGGTACTGACCGCGAGGTGTGACTTCGAAGTTAGCTAGTTCGTCATACCATTCCCGTCTAACTCAATTAGACCTCCAATCATTCGACATAGATCGTCTACGTTGATGATCTTCAATAGTAATTTAATAGTTCAATCCATGAGTCAATTAAAGGTAGACCACCATGGAAAACCTGGAAGCATTAAACGGTCGTTTCGTCCTAGTACGGGACTCCTCAGCAGTACATATCCACAAAACCACCCCGCAAGATTCGTTCTCATGAGTTCAATTATTAAATTACTACAATCTCCACAAAACCTCTATCTAATTATATGTATATATGTAGATTTTCAACTGAGCTATATATTGACATGAAACATTTCATCATACTACATTGATTTACTTGACGAGTTTCACGTAATTTATTTTCAAGTTCTTCAATGATTGTTGCTTTAACAGATAGTAATTGTTCTTGTCTTAAACTTTCCACTCGTGCAACTTCTTCAACAGCTTTTTGGATTTTATCTGAATCTATAAAAGAAAATATAAAAGATTATTGTAGTCTCCTATCTATTTGAAGAGTACAGTTTTATGATGTAATAATGTGATAAGGCACAAAGTCCTTCAATTGTTTAGATCGACATCATCAAAATGTCTAGTATGCTCTTGTTTCTATAATGCTAAGTGGAAAAATAATGTTTTAGACCTAATCTATATCAAGAAGGTACAAGTATTTATACATAGTTGTCTAAGCAAGATACTCAATATCCTTTGACTGGATACCATCAGGAACAGCCTACTGTGGGAGATAACAAACCAGCTTCCAGCTGAAGAGAAAATCAGGTAAATACGTTGGAAGTGGATAAGTCATGCATTACGGAAATCGTCAAATTGCATCACGAGGCAAGTGGTAATATAGAATCCTGAAGGGAAACGGAAAACAGGAAGACCGAAGAACACACTGCGTCGGAAACTGGAAGCAGATATGAAATGGATGATTTGCAATTGTAAACAACTAGAAAGGATTATCCTGGGCATGGTTGGATGGAGAGTGATGATGGGCGACTTATGCTCTTCGACAAGAGGTAACAAGCGTAAATAACTAAATCTATATGGATACCTAGTATAACCATAGGTAATAAATTATTTAAGTTTATCAACCACTTTATTTATCTTGAAGGTCTCATCAGCCTTGTTGAATTAGTGACTGATGAAATATCGCATAACGTTTTTCAGTCTGACTATATAGTAGTAATTACTCTGAGTAGCAGTCCATTCTGAATTTCAGGACTGTTGTAAAAGATACCTTATAAATTCAGGGGATATCCGGAATAATAGTCGTTTGATCATAGGAGCTATCAAATTATTTACTATCTATGATAGTACCACTGAGTACGTAAACCTGAGGTTAACAGCAGATTAATATGTAAACATACAAAAATAGTTGACAAGATCATAGATCTTCATGAACCGGGCAGGTTACAGCATGTATTATGGACGCCTATCTATTAATTAACACAAAAGTAGACAGGTGAACGATTACGAGCAATCATACTAAGGTACTACACACGTTTATGTTGCAAAGATTATTATGTTTTTGATCGAGATCATGAAACGGTTGGTGTTAGACCACCACTGAAAACCTAACTCATGAGGGAAGTCCCAGAGATCTAGTGAAAAGCCGTGACCAGTTAAGCTAATCCATATCAGGTACAAACAGCTATCTACCTCAAAACAATAGAAGATGGTCGCGAAATTTCGTGGATTGGTTGAAGTTAGACATTAACACCATTAAATGCCGTCTGGCTCAGTGGTCTAGAGCTTAAGCACTTGCACTGTAGACTGAGGGCCTTGGGTTTGAATTCTGTTCATTGTTGAGGAATTCCTTAATATGACGAAACGGCCGTTCAGTGGATCTAGGTTTTCAATGATGATCTAACATCCACCGGTTTATGATCTCAATCAAAAGCTTAATAATATCCACATGCTAAAATAATCTCTATGGGCTAAACATAGCAACTAACATGACAAACTAAATATTTATTATTCTCATAGCAACAATCAATCAATCAATCAATCAATATAACTTACTTTCATAATTTAATTTAGCTATTTTATCATCCATAATAGTTTTCCATTCATTTTGAATGAATGATTTAGTTTTAAGAAGTTCTTCTTGATGTTCTACTTCGTTGACTTTTATTTGTTTTAATAAATCAGTTTTTTGTTTTATCAATATGGTTGTAAATTCAGCTAAATGTCTTATTGTATTGATTAAATCATCTGGACGATTAATAATATGTAACATATCTGATCAATGTAACATAGAAACCAAAATAAACATAATTAAGATAAATGAGATTAATGTTTCTATGCAAATATTTTGAATTAATGTTAAAGTGTAATGATAGAAAACAATATTAGTTGAGTTTTGTAAAGATAACCAATAGGTGAACTTGAAGTAAGGTTCAAAAAAAAATAGAAGATATTCAAACCAATCATCTTTTCGAAGAATAGTCTACAATCTTAATATGTCGCTTCCTTATTGGATAAATGATAATACCACTCCCCCCTCCGCCTATATTCGGATTGGATGATTATAATGATGATTTCACTTTTAATAAAAACTATAAATACATGATAGATTGTATACTATATTTGACACTTTGAAATGGCATTTCTTTTCACTAATCTTCTGTCATGTTATTTAGCTGGATATAATTTATGGATGAATCAATTATGTATAAGATAACAGGTTTCAGATTTTGACCCGAAATCCATCTATCCATCCATCCATCCATCCATTCATTCATTTGGTTATATAGAGTTTTGGTATTAGAACTAGTGTCAATTCATGATAAAAACCTTAAATCTAATATCTAACCTTAATCATCAACTGTAAGTCATAATTGTAATCCCCCCATAATGTTTCATAACACTCATTTGGTTCTAGTTATTAGATAGACACTTGAATGTCATTCAAATATCGTTCACATAAATTATAGTCTCATTCATATTTACGACTTGAAGGGTTCTAATGTTCGAGTGTTCAAGTTATACGCGATATTATCAAGAATTTAATCTCTTGATATAAGAACTTTTAAATCTGGATTATTTTGTTATTTATCTAATTTTGTCATTGTACTTAAGCACTTTAATTATTAAAGGGTTAGGTTTGAAAATTGAATTTACTGGATTCTATTTCTTTGAATGAATTCATTCGGCGAGACTATAATTTATGGACGATCTTTGAACAAATCTTAAGTGACTTTGAGAATTACTAACCAATCAGAAAACAGTATAAAGTAGGAATATATATATTATACAAAACCAAAGAATTAAAGTGAATACACTTCTTATACGTGGTTGAAAAACTTGTCAAGGTTTGAAAGAGGTTCAGAGGTTCTAAAATTCTAATGCATACGGTAAAGGAAATCATCCATATGGATCCATAATAGTTGGCCTCTAGAGGCATGATAAGATCGCGAAAACTCATTCAGCCACGACCATATAACTTCAATATTGTTTATGTTCACTCTAGTTGTTGAATTCACAAAATACCGCTTGTGGATAACAATGCAAATGATGTGTATATTGTAGTATCCGGCTTCAGCCAGTGTTACTTTTGCTTTTGTTATCCAGTTCGCAAGAATTGTCATAGATTGGCTTAATTTCAATGTGGATCGAGGGAAAACATCCTATTGTAACAGACTAGTTCCTCCATAACATACCACATCGAAAGACAATCTCATCACGGTAGTCTGTACAAGGTGCACAATTCATTTGATTATCAGAATCATAAATAAAGGAACTTGTTATTAGTCCCATTTGTTGTAGCCACTTATTTATTATGTTTCCTCGAAATTCCTCTGTGAACTGATCGAATGTGAGCATCAGGTATTGAAATTGGTGCCGTTGTAGTGAACAGAACACCATTGGGAAACAATCGAATGTATCGAACAACAAATTACAGAACTAGTTAGTAAAATCTAACAACCATTATAGTAAATGCTTAATTTGCAAAATGTCAATCAATTGTCTCAAATGACTCAGAATTCCTTTGTTCTTGCATTTCCATACAAATTGCATTCTGATTTCATTCTTTTACTGTTCGATGTTCTTGTCTCTCTGATGCCAGACATTCAGTTCCTGACTAACATCATATACTACTTATATCTATATAAGTAGCACACACCACACGTGACCATGAAATCCCTCAAACGCATTTTGATTGTCTCGTCCATAAATTATAGTCCCGCCATTCTTATCTCTAACTTTCAACTGTAAATCCTTGTCCTCGCTCAATTTCGTTGATTGGTTGCAGTTAGACGTTAGACATTCACAAATTGTTAGATGCCGGCTCAGCGATCTAGATGTTAAGCGTTCGCGCGCGAGACTGATAGGTCCTGGGTTCGAATCTCGTGAGCAGGGAGCGTGGATGCCCACTTTTGAGGAATCCCACAATAGGACTAAACGTCCGTCCAGTGCTTCCAATTCTTTCATTGTGGTCTAGCTTCAATTGACTCATGATCTCAACCATTGAAAATCTATAACCTTCAATTTAACCATAGTAAGTCAACTTTCTCAAGATCATTTTAATGTTGCTCAATGGTCAACTATAAATTATAATCTTATTTCTTTTCATTCACTTGTAATATAACCCAATTCAGATAGTATTCAGGATAGTTTAAATTAAACTAAAACTTGTAATCTTAAACCGGAACTATCCTTAAATTAACTGAAAAATAATGGTACCTAATGATAATGATCAGGTCATTCGTTTCTAATTATACTACCGTTTACACTTTGATTGCTCAATTGAATATAAGCCAATATATATATAGGCTATATAAGTACCCAATGGTTAATAGTTTAATGCATTAGCGTTTAAGGTAAACTATGGAAGGAGGGAGGGAAGAAAGAGAATTTCATTTTTTTATTGTATGGTTGATGCGTGATTTTTTGACTCCATATCTATTTTTATTCTACATTGTTTCCATGGAAGTTACTTTCGTCCGGTTTTTTTTCTTTTCTTGAGTATTCTTTTAGGTTTTATTGATTGTTGTCCAGGTGGTGAATATTCAATGTAAAAGAGTTTAAGACGGCAATGCAGCGGTTGATCAGTGATTATCATCGATGCTCAACACTTTCTTAACTGATATTTATACTTACTCAAAGTTAATCTTAAAATTGAACGATTGTAATTCATATAACTTACAATACATTTTTAAGGCGTTTCGTCTTATTTGGGAATTGTGAACTGAATATCCATTATTGAGAAGATTCAAACAAACACTACAAAAATGAATTAAAACCTCAACCGATTGCACAAGCAAGTGGATATCTGGATTTACTGGGTAAATGGATAATGTAATGGTATTTGAAGCAAAAGGCACTGAGTTCGAGTCCCGGAGTGAATATCAACTCTTGGTTGCAGATATATCCAGCAGATGATTCCCAGATGGGACGAAACGTGAGTCTTGGATTCCACTGCTAGCAACCATCTATCTCTGTTGATAATGATTGTGATTTAAGGCAATTTCGAAGCATCCCGCACTAGATGCGTACATGCCGATAAGAGATTGATCAGTTAAAGTGATAAATATCAATGAGAAGATTCGAACAAACAATACGAAATAAATTAAAATGTAGTGAAATATATTTAGAATGAGATGGTAAAGAAGATTTGTAGCTCAGGTGGATGATTTTGATGGAGTTTCGTTCTCTGAGCTGGATGGTTTGGTCGTGGAGCTTTCATCGTTCTTCTGAACGAAATCATCTGCAACACGAACTTCAGATAGAAGTGAAGTGTTCGAATTTCTCCATATGTGCTTCACAGCGTGTTCTGTACACTTCGATGTTGATTGGTTCTTATTGACCTTGAATTTGTGATTGTTTACTTCTTTGTTTTGGTTGTGTCTCCTCTTGGTTTGATTCTTGTTCCTATATGTGTGCATAAGTTTCCTGATTGGTTGATAAATCGGATCGATTTCAATATATTTGTTGATTGCTGATTGACCTGAGTGCCAGGCTTCTAAAAATTCTCATGTGTTTTTAGAATTTCCTCTGTCCAAGATTTCCACATTTTTCCAATCGAATGTGTGTCCGCAGTTGTCCATGTGTATTGATATAAGTGAGGAGATATCATGCCGTTTGACTGATAATTGATGTTTGTGTAGGCGAAGATGAAGAGGGCATCCGCTTTGTCCGGACAAAGCGGACAATTGTAGGAATGCAAAACTTGCTTTGCCAATCCTCGCATTTACGTCTGCAACTGAACCTTCTTGTTCATTGATGATGCTTTACAGCTATGTGAAGGATTCTACATCATCCAGAGTTTCACCATCAAGAGTGATTGGATTGCTGTTCTCCGTGTTGTATTTGAGGACCATAATTTTCCCCTTGTGTGTGTTGAGGCTCATTGATCCAGAGACTGCTGCTACACTGACTGTCTTTATCTGCATTTGTTCGTGTGTATGCGGTAGCAGGGCGAAAATCGCTATACCTTTGGGGGTAAAATCTGGAACAACTTGGTAAGGTGTGTTTAATATACGTTGTTTCATTGTATGTGTGTGGTTTATTCTGCTTTTCAATCATCAATTCATTCTATTAATCACTGATGATGAATGTTCTTCGATGATCATAAGACGTAAAAGCAGTTGACAGATCTAAGTTATTAGAAGTTTTAAGAGTTGTTTAAGTGATTTAAACAATGATAAGACAGTAACCTACCAGTATTCTGTGACTGTATTGTTCCAACAGCCTCTTGTACACAATCTTCAAGACGTTGTTGTGTATTCACTTGATCTTGTAAATCATCCAATAGGATACGTTGAAGTCGTTTTAAAATTTCACTAGCTGGAACATAAGCGGCTAGTAATTCAATATCTTGTTTTAATCGTAATGATGAACGAAATCTAGGTGTATCTTTCATGTTTTGCTAAGGAAAAAAAATGGGAGCAATAAAGTTTTATTATCAACTGTAAGGATATACATTTCCGTTTATTAATATTCAAGACTGAATTGAATAATCTTCCCTAGGATGTGATTTTTTAAACGATTATTTAGATATTACTTAAATGTATAACTTGATTATATAGTAGACAGTGGCTAGCAGGTAAATTATTTAGGTAATATCATGGCTCAACAGCTTGTTATAGAAACAGACAATAATATAGGACGTTTCAGTAATAGAAACCCATCACCGCTCTAGAAATCGAATAGATGACCTTCAGACCGCAATACAGAGAGCGATTAAAGATTGAATTAAACTACGATTTGAATGTATTGGTTCACATCACTAAACTTCAGTGATAATTATCCGTTGCTACTGGTGATGCTGTGGTATGTACTACTTATGTAGATATAAGTAGTATATGATGTTAGTCGTTAACAGAATGTCTGGCATCAGAGAGACAAGAACATCGAACAGTAAAAGAATGAAATCAGAATGCAATTTGTATGGGAATGCAAGAACAAAGGAATTCTGAGTCATTTGAGACAATTGATTGACATTTTGCAAATCGAGCACTTACGATATGGTTGTTAGATTTTACTAACTAGTTCTGTAATTTGTTGTCAGATACATTCGATTGTCCCTATATTCATTTATTTATTTACTTTAACACATAGATATTGCAATAGTTGAAATCATGAATCAATTGAAGCTAGACCACCATGGAAAACCTGGAAGCACTTGACGGCCGTTCCGTTCTAGTATGGCACTCCTCAGCAGTGCGCATCCACGACCCCGCACCCCGCGGGATTCGAACCCAGGACCTATCAGTCTCGCGCCAGGCGCTTAACCAGCTAGACCACTGAGCCGGCATCCAACGGTGTTAATGTCTAACTTCAACCAATCCACATAGATATTGGTAAACGGAGGCACCAAATAAATACGCGTCACACAAATCTCATTTGATTTGTGTGAGGGCTGTGATATTGCCCGGCTGCCCGAACCGAAGCAGGTGATTTGCTTAGGGGACCACACCCGGAGCCTTTGATCTAAAGGTCTAACCCACAAGGCAGTGGAGCATCGTAAGGAGATGCAGTCCTATGGTAGCCGGTGATCAACAATTGGTTCACACGCCATTTGTTCCTTCAGGATAGTGGAGCCCTTTTTGACGTCAGACATTATTGAAACAGTGTTCTGTAATCATTGACACTACATTCAACTTAGTAGTTTATCAATTTGAAATGAATTGTGTTGTTCATTTTTACACCACGTCTGGCACAGAACCTTGCACCATTTATTACATAATTTATCTCAGTCTAGAGATAGATTTTTTTTTAAATCAAAATGAGGACTTATGAAGATTGTAGTAATTTTAACAGATGAATACATAAGTCGATTTAAGCTAGACCACCATTGACAACCTTGAAGCAGTAGGGGCTCAGTGACTTGATAGTTAAGCGTACGCCGGCAAGACCAAAGGTCATGGGTTCAAGTCCCATGTGAGGGATTGTAGATGCACGCTACTGAGAAGTGTTATATATTTATTCAGTCGAAAAACAGTATTGATGATTTTCTTTTTTTTTCTGGTCAATAGAACTAACTATTTACATTCATGTCGTCGTTTAGATGTGAGAGATCCACTGAAGGTAGTGATATTGGAGTGAAATGTAGAAATTAGGGATTTGAAAAAAAAATACACACTGAAATAACATTCATAAAAAAAAACTAGTAAAGTTATGTAATAAAATGTGTTCAAATACTTAGAGAGTGAAGCATATATTTAGAGAAAGCCGGTGAAAGAAAATAAACAAACCGAATATGGAAAATAATATTAGGAAACATTTCACAGCCCCCAAATGCCCTGGTACAGCCGAGAGCGGGGAGAGTCCACTCTCCCACTCCAAATGCTCTCACATAGCTACGCGTATATAGTCACTGCCAGGAAAATCCTACTCACTGCCTTCTCTCACCACGGGTGTTGTTTACGAAAATGAGTGGACAAAAAGTGAATGTCCAACGTTTTAACGGGGTTGGTGGATACAGAGGATCCACCTAGAAGAGTTAGAGAACCCTGATTCCAAACCAATGGTGCACATGGACTCCAGTATCCTGCCAAAACAAACGGCGTATGAACCAATCGTTGGTCACCGGCTAACATAGGACTGCATCTCCTTACGATACTCCACTGCCTTGTAGATCAGACCTTCTGGTCTAAGGCTCCGGGTGTGGCACACTAAGAAAACCACCTGCTTCACTTTGGGCACCTTGGCAGTATTCCAGCCCTCACACATATCAAATGAGATCTGTGTGGCGGATATGTATTTGGTACCTCCTTTTACCAATGTCTATGTGTTCAAATAAATAAATAAAACTAACACTAACTAGTCAGATCTATTGCAAGTAGAGATAGGAAGGTATTCACAGATGCCATCAATGAAAATGATCCTCATGGTTTTCTGAAGAAACATTTGTATATAATGAACAGAAAATTAGTAATATCGAATATTACTAAGAAATTTCTCTTTCTGTAGCTATGAATCAATGAAGATATAGCTAATGATGTATTAAGAGATAGACCGATTAAAGCAATGGAGAGAATTTTTCTTTAGTGAAGCTAACCTTTGTTTATTGTTTTACAACCGACCAGTGATGATTCGTAACTAAAAGATAAGTTACCTTTATTATTCTTATCATAATTAGTGAACTTGTTATCACACTATCGATTTGTATTATTGACTTATTATTTATCCATAAAATCAACTTCAATGCTATTAGTTACTATGAAAGATAATTGGAAATGGATTAAAGAAGCATTAATTTCAACATATCAGAAAGTAATGAGTTGTAACAAACATCATCATAAAGAATGGATCTCTATCAAAACTCTGAACAGAATTCAATAAAGATAAAAATCAATCAATCAATGAACCAATCAATCAATCAATCAATCAATTAATCAATAATCATTTAATAATAAAACAATTCCTACTTGAGCTTCAATATAAACATGAATAAATTCATTTAATTCATTTTCAATTAGTTTATTTTGTTGTTTCATTTGATTGTCTATTGAATGATTCATTTGTAATTCAGATTGTAAACGTTTATAATCATCAGCTAAAAATTGTATACGATCTAATAATTGTTCATTATGATTTATATCTTGATAAGAATCCTGATTGTCTATTGATGAGGGTGACGGTGATGAGGGTGATGATGATGGGGATTTCACATTTGATAATTCATGATTTTTATCAATCGATTGAATATTGGATTCAGAATTGTTAATAACTTTGTTATTATTAGAAGAACTTTCTAATAGTTTCTTTGTATTGAATTGAGTTTCAGATAATACAGCGAATACAATACGCATGATACGTGTACGTAAACGTTCAAACTAGTTTTTTTTTTTTTAAAAAAAAAAAAAAAAAAGATAATGATAATATAAATCATTTACGATTGTTCATTATGAAGTAAGGTAGATTGACCGTAGCCAGTGCACGCATTCAACTTGGATATGGGAACATGTTGAAGTTTGGTTCTACAATGGTGAAAGCAAAGCAGTTAGGAGTTCTATACTTGAATACTTAAATCGACTGTAATCATTCTATGGATCTATAGTTTGATTTTAAGGTTATTTATATGATTTGTTCAAATCTATCAAGATTTCTTTGTATCCAACTCCTGAAAAAAATAGCTGAAGCTCTAACTATCCATGAGCTCAAACTAGAACTATGCGTACGAAAACAATACATCCTACCTTGGCCTTAATACTATTATTATTATTACTATTATTATTACTACCGCATTCCTCCCTTTTCTTATGTCTTATATTCTCATTATTTTATTCATAAGTGCTCATCATATCATCTTATTTAGTTTTTACACCTTTATAACCTTTAATTATTGTAATTTCAATGGTTGACATCATAAGTCGATTGAAGCTAGATAACCATGGAAAACCTGGAAGCACTGGACGGCCATTCCTTCAAATTGTGGGACTCGTCAGCGGTGCGCATCCTCGATCCCACGACTTATCAGTCTCACTCGTGAACACTTAACCACTAGACTACTGAGCCGGCCGTCCGGTCGGCATCCAATGATGTTAATGTCTAACTTCAACTAATCTACCGAATTGCGCCACCATTGTCTTCAGTGAGTTACTATCTCACAATAGACTTGGTTGAACTCCATTGGTTACTGCTTCATGTAACAAAAATATTTTAATGACTTTAATCATCTTATAACATTCACTAAATCTAAATCTAATGTTATTATTAGTATTGCGTAGTCTAGTATTATAATCTTTCTATTATGTCATCTTGGCTATTCCTTGTTCATATTTCTTTACGGAATAGGTACTTTAACAAAACAAATTTTCATATATATATACGATCGTACAGCTTGATGATAAACTCGTTGAAAAGAGATCTCTTTGATGAACTTCGTGTTTTTAATCAGGACATGAATTACACAATCGTCATTCTGTTAGCGGGACATAGATTGAATTAAAGCATGTTTCATGCACGATTACGTTGCTGCTTGCTGATTGGGTAATTCGGTGAGACTATAATTTATGAACGACCTTTAAGCGACACCACAATGACCATGAGGGTGTTCACCAAGTAACTCAGTCAGTCAGTCAGCTGCAACGTAGGACCAGGCACACATATGCATCAGTCCAAGTTGCCATACCCCATTAGCACAACAAGGTGAACACTGGATTCATAAAACTAGTTAATTCAGTGGTGGTAATATGTAGAAGAAAGATTTCATATGAGGGTATATTAATGAGGTAAGAATTAGTTCGTAGAAAGAAAGATACAAAGTAATTTTAATCTCTTAGTCAAAAGAAGACAGACAGTGTATACACCTACACCATTGTGATCGATTTTGAGCCATATCACCAAGAGTTTCCAAGCATTGGTTACGATAGTCATGCGAACCCCAACCAGGTAGTCTGCATCTACCAACATCTCTAAGACTAGAAGTTAGTGACTTCAAGCGCTGATGCCACGTTTTGGTTTGGCCGCCCCTCACCTAATAACTAAGACCAAGTGAGGGTTATCAACCATTGTGTGAGGAATTAAGATTAGGATTTACAGTTGATGATTAGAGTTATGAATTGGATTTCGAGATTTTCATCACGAACTGACATTAGTTCAAATGCCAAAACTCTACTTAGAGAAATGGATAGGTGGATTTGGCTCCAAAATCCGGGACCTGTTATCTTATACCTGATTGGTTCATTCATAAATTATAGTTTCGCCACTAATTCTTATCCAATCAGCGCTAGTCGATACTTACAAAAGACTCTAGAATCTTCTCTTGTGAAAACTATAAATATACTAACATTTTTCTCTTATTGTGCTTCTTAATTTTATTTACTCCTATGTTATTTGGAATAGAATTCCATTCCTGTTCAATCATGTTCTGATTGAATTAGTGTCCAAGAGTACTAAGCAATAGGAATAACTTGGTTGTAAGCAAAGGGAATTATAACACATTCTAAGAGTGAATGTTGTCTACTGGGCTTATTATGAAAAAAAGCACAACCTTTAGATGGTATTCGTAAAAGAATTGATCCTTACATACTACTTAAAACCAGAAAACACTGAATAGTTGTTTCATTCTGGTATGGGATAATTTTTAATACTTCTAATCAGTTAACATCAATACCCCCACCTATACGTTATCCGAAAGTACAAGTATTCACAAATAGTCACCTACGCAACATGCTTAACATCCATTGACCGGATACCATCAGCAACAATCTACTCTGTGAGAGAACAAACTAGTTTCCATCTGAAGAGGAAATTAGGAAAAGTCGATGGAAATAGATAGGACATACATTAGGGAAATCATCAAACTGCATCACTAGGCAAGCCCTAACTGGGAATCCTAAAACGAAACAGAAAAGAGGAAGGCCAAAGAACACATTACGTCAGTATATGGGAATAGAAGCAGATATGTAAAAGATGAATAACAGCTAGAAATATTTGGAAAGGACTGTCCAAGACAGGATTGGATAGAGAGTACTGGTAGGTGGCCTATGATCCTCCACGAGGAGTAACAGGAGTGTGTGGGTAAGTAAGTAAGTCATATATTATCCGAGAAACATTTATAAATTTTGATGGAGTTTTGTTCTCTGAGCTGGATGGTTTGGTCGTGGAGTTTTCATCGTTCTTCTGAACGACATCATCCACAGCACAAACTTCAGATAGAAGTAAAGTGTTCGAATTTCTCCATAACGCATATGTTAACCTTAAACCCGTCATTGTTTACTTCTTTCTTTCGGTTGTTTCATTTTTTGGTCCCAATAGATCTACAGAACAATCTGTGAGTCATATGTGAAGAAATTCGAACACTTCACTTCTTACCTGAAGTTTCTACTGTGAATGATGTCGTTCATAAGAACAATCAAAGCTCCAAGAACAAACTATTCAGCTCAAAGAACAAAACTTCATCAAAATCATCCATCTGAACTACAAATCTTATCTACCATCTCAACATTTATAAATGATTAAATTTACCTCACTAATAGCTTCATGTTTATCAAGTTGATGAATTCGAACAGAACGTTCTAATTCAATGATTTTCATTTGCATTTCTTCTAATTCTTTACGTAATTTATTCTCTTCAACTAATTTCTTTTCAACATCTTGAAGAAGTTTATGATGATCTAATTTCATTTTATCTAATTCATCTTGTAATGAATGATTATGTAATTCTGAAGTTTTATATTTCTGAAAGAAAAGAACAAAAAGAAGGAAGGAAAATAGAAATTGATGATCTTGGCTACTTTTGATCTTTATGTTTAATAACTAAAAAAGACTTAGTTGAACTATTGAACAAAAGTTCATGGAATTGCGCGACTGTCTTCCATGGTCTTCAGCAGGTTGTATTGTCTGTTATTATGTTAAACCCGAATACCTTATTCTTACTTTCGGACAGCCCATTCTATTCATTCTACTTGAGTAACATTCTAACCTTGTTAATTATTCACTTATCAATATCTTAACTGTCTTTGTATGAGCGCGTAGGCGTATGTACACTTCTTATCCCGTTACTCATCATATGTCTGTAACTTATTTCTGTGTGTTTATAAATATTGATTAACGCTTGGTTAAATGGAGAGTTGGCTTACCAGCCATCTCCACCGCGCGCCAATTTAGCTTCGCTTTCTCATCTTCGCATCGTTCCTCCGTTCGTTTGTCTAATCAACAATTATACAAAATCTATTCATTCAAAAGTCCATTCTCGTTATTTGACTTATTTAATTCAGTTGTTAACTAACGCGATTTAAGTCAATGATTATATACGGGAATAGACGATAGGCGACATAGATATTTCAACAACAATCATCATTACGATCTAATTGGAGTCAGATCATGTGCCACTAAAGTGGTGAGCCCGCCACCGTCGACGAACTCAACGGGCTCCACAAAATGGAAATAAGTTACACACATGTGATAAGCAGTGGGATAAGAAGTTTATACACGCCTACGCGCTCATATAAAGACAGTCAAGATTGATAAGTGAATAATTAAAAAGGTCAGAATGTGACTCAAGTAGAATGAATAGAATGGGCTGTCCAAAAGTTAGAATTTGGGCTTAACATAATAACAGACACTACAAGGTAACATACCTCACATTCGGCACTCGTCATAGATTCTCACTAGAACTCCAAGATTTACATTACTCAATAATCTTCATAACTGCATAATGATAATAATCATGTTACTCACTAGTGACTAGATTCGATAGGTAATTCTCGGAGTTTTAAGGAATCTCAATGAATGAATTCTGACTTAGTGATCGAAATGTAATCCTGAAATGACTCATAAGAATCTATATTACGAAAACCATATATATATAATCGTGGATGGAATTAGAAATATGGTGTGTGCTACTTATATCGACATAAGTAGTATATGACGTCAGTCAGGAACTGAATGTCTGACAAGAGGATCGAACAGTAAAGAATGAAAACAGAATGCAATTTGTATGAAAATGCAAGAACAAAGGAAGTTTGAGTCATTTGAGACAATTGATGGACATATTGCAAATTAAGCATTTACTATAATGGTTGTTAGATTTTATTAACAAGTTCTATAATTTTGTATCAAATATGTCTGGTTGTTCTCCATAGGTGTTCTGTTCACTACGGAGTTATCTAGATGGTTAGCTAGCTTGTTTACAAGAATAATCCACTTATTTAAAATATGCCGCCTACATTTAGATTTGGCTCAATGATAACATTGGTCTACCAGGGTGCTTGGTACCTGTGTGGTTGCGCCACAGGATTGAGCTGCACTGCTCGGATTGTAGCGTTAAAGCCTATACGGTGTCTGGTTCCCATGTGAAGCGGGATTGAGCTGTACTGTTCGGGTAGTCACGTGAAAGTCTAGACAGTGTCTGGTTCTCCTGAAAACCAATGTAAAATTACCTTGGCCCACAAGAGTATATTATATACCTATAACTAACCATGATAACATGTTATTTGTCTGATCTTGCATCAATCTATGATTTAACTTAGAGTACCCGATGATAAATCCTAGTTTTATTAACGTTTACATTAGTGACCATGTTAGAAATAAATTCTAGATGTTTTAAATAAGACCTATAATAAATAACAATAAACCAAGTCGTAAGTTATGTAGATATTGTTAGCCTCATTGAATGGTATTTGAGTAGCCATTGATATTATTGTAAATATTAAACTAGAATAGAAAAAAAAAACATTTCAAGGTGGATAAAACTAATTTTAATGTTTGAATTTATGAGTTGATTTAAGTTGGACCACTGATGGGAACTCCTCAACAGTGCGCAACCACGACCCTTCTCACAGGATTCGTGTTTTAACTTGTGACCCGTGTGCCCTGTTAATGGATAAGTAATGATGCCATCAATTAGGGAGCAGTGACTTATCAATCGGATCAATGACGCATAAACTTATATAAGCAGACTAGATTCCTGATTGGTCCTGCTTCCTGCCTAACCCAGTCAGTTAAGTCCAGAACACCAAACCGAGCCTCTGTGACATGAATCATATATCTCAGACATATTGGGTTTATATATAAACCAAAAAGATTACATCATACCATAAAATAGAAAACATCATTTATACTAGATTTAGCCAAATGTGGCTGTGAGCGTGGGAGGTAGACATGGCATAACTCAAGAATAGTATATCGTATAATAATAGTGTATGGTTCAAAATAAAGCTCATAATAAGGGGGGCATGAATATTAATAGTTATGTGAAAATTATACCATAAAATTATACACCTAGTACTGGTCCACAAATGGATCCTGAAAATTACCATCCATTATGCATATCGGGACCTAACAATTCGGACTCAGAACCTTCAGTTTCACGCGCGAACTCTTAACCTCCAACCTACTAAGCCATGATCTAACGATGTTAATTTCTAACTTCAATCATTTCATGATGTTGCACAACCCTTCATTCATTGTCTGACATGGATAACTTTCTCCACCCATCACACGGCACACACTGTACAGGTCAAAGTTTTTATTAAAAAAAAAACAAAAATTCATATCATTTACCTGACGAATACTGTCCATTTCTTTTTCAAATTGTTCTTTCTCCAAATTGTATTGTTTTTTATCTTGAGATTTATTATACTGAAAATTTACAAAATGTATATTAACAGTTAAAAGAAAGATAATTAAGATAATACAGATTTATGTGGTGACTATTGTTTAGATTTATTGATTGATTGATTTTAACACATAGGTATTTGTACAAAGAGGGACCAAATACATACGCGCCACACGAATCTCAATTGGTTTGTGTGAGGGCTGTGATACTGCTCGGGTGTCCAAACCGAAGCAGTTGGTTTTCTTAGGGGGCCACACCCCGAGCATTCGGCCTGAACGTCTGACCCACAAGGCAGTGGAGCATCGTAAGGAGATGCAGTCCCATGGTAGCCGGTGACCAACGATTGGTTCATACGCCATTTGTTCTCGCAGGATACTGGAGCCAGCCCATGTGCACCAGTGATTTGGGATCCGGTGAAATTGCCGGACATTCGCTTTTCGTAAAGAACAGTTATGCCACGAGAAGTCAGTGAGTAGGACTTCCCTGGCAGAGGCTATATATGCATGGCCATGTGAGAGCATTTCGAGAGGGACCAGGGCATTTGGGGGCTGGATTTATTGATGAAACTGTCGAATTGTGTTCATATTGAAGTTCGTCTCGAAAGTGTTTTTAAAATAATAAACTATAACTTCAACTAATTCATGAAATTGAGCGACTGTCTTTCATTGTATTCAGTAGGTAAATGCCTCACATTCAACACGTCATAGTTTCACACTAGAACTCCGAGAATTACCTTACTCGACAATCTTCACAATTGCATACTGATAATTACCATGTTATTCACTAGTGACTAGATTCGAGAGGTAATTCTCGAAATTCTAAAGAGAAGCCGTGATCAATGAAGCAAAGATGTGACAATGATTCTACAATAGGTGATTAAAAACGATGAGAATTTCGTGATTAACTTAATAAACCTTTGGGGAAATAATACTAATTAAGAAAAACATACACAGTTAAAAACATGGATTTAATGAAGCGAATGTTATTTAAGAGGGATTTTCATCGTTAACCAACATGGAATCCGATAGCAAACAATGTAGTATTGGATAGATATCCTATCCGAGTTCGATGATCATTTTCTTGGATGCATCTTAATGTAACATGTCACCATTCATCAAATCTTTTATATCAGTTTAGGGGTTGTGGAGATTGTTACGTTTTTGATTGAGATGATGAACCGATTGATGTTAGACCACTGTTGAAAACCTGGAAGCACTGGACGGCCGTTTCGTCTGGTGAGAAGCCACGATCAGTGGAGCTAATACGTGTCAGGTAGAAACAGGTATCCACCTCATTACATTGGAAGATGGTCGCGCCACATCGTGGATTGGTTGAAGTTAGACATTAACACCATTGGGTGCTGGCTCAGTGGTCCAGTAAATTAGGCGTTTGCACACGAGACCGAAGACCCTGGGTTCAAATCCCGCGAGAGGGGTTGTGTATGCGCACTGCTGAGCAGTCCCACAATAGAGCGAAACGGCCGTCCAGTGCTTCCAGGTTTTCAATGGTGGTCTAACATCAATTGGTTCATGATCTCAATCAGAAAAAATTTCTTATATTTTCCAGACAATTTGAAATGCAGTGTTATGATTATTCAATATAATTGATGGGTTACCATGATTACCGATGAATTCAATCATAGTGAAGATTTGTAGCTCGAGTGGATGATTTTAGTGAAGTTTTATTCTTTGAGTTGGATGATAATAGAAGAAAAATCGGATATCATTTACAACATCAACTGTTTTAATCCTGAAAAACACTACATCAGACAAAGTAGATGATCCTTCATCTCCGCCTGTATGAATGTCAATTAGATGTTAAATGCCAATGACATAGCTTCACTTAAATCAATGCAAGTGGACAACTGTGAACACAGAATCTACTGAAAAAAAAATGTTGAAAGCTTGGATAGAAGGAACATTAAGAACACTTAGGTCAATCAGTAATCAATAAACAGATGAAAATCGATCCAATTTCTCAACCATTCAGAAGAATTATAGACAAATATAAGACCAAGAGTCAAATCAAAGGAAGATACCATCAAAATAAAATTACGGATAACGACAGATTAAAAGTCGACAATAAACGATCAAAATCGAGGTGAAAAGATCAAACTGTTATTCATACATAGAGAAATCCAAATACTTCACTTCTATCTAAAGTTTATGCTGATGATGTTCAAAAGAATATTGAGAGCTCTACGACTAAACCACCGAGCTCATAGAAAGAAACTCCATCGGAATTCTGTCATCCCTTGACATTTCTAAAACATTTTGTCAGTACTAACCGACAGGAACCTATCAAAATCATTATGATCTCATCTACTCTGTATTACTGAACCACATACTGTACACACAGAAATATGAACTGTGTATATAAATGAAACTTGTTCATCCTTATCGTCTGCTATTGACTACCTAGAAGATATTCTTGTTTTCAGTCGTTAACTTCACCTTTTACTAACCCACAGTGCACCCTTCTCGTTTGAATGATTATCTTATTGTCAAGATTTACCTCATTATTTCACCATAAGAAAACTCAGTCACATCGGTATAGTTCAAATGAAAGGCAAATCTTGATGGAGTTTTATTTTAAATCATCCAGCTCAGAGAACAAAACTTCATCAAAATCATCTAGCTAAGCTACAAATCTTCTTCACCATCTCGAAACGTAAATCTTCTGCATCATTCCAACATTTTAATCAATAACTTTGTGCATTTCTTTGTTTTTATTTGTATTATCTGATTAGTTATTGTCATAGTTAATGAGTTTAACAAGATTGATCTTCTTCAAATAATTTTATTCATTCCTAGACCGCGTACACATACAGTTTAGTCATATCATGGAGTAGGTACTGTAGGTTACCTTTCAATTACTTATGCCTGCTACTCCTTGTCGAGAAACATAAGCCGCCGACCAGGATTCTCGAACCAACTCTATCTTTGGCTCTCCTTTCCTATCGTTTCCGACTGTTATTTATTCTTTTGATGTATACTTCCGATTCTCGACCCAATATGTTTTCAGGTCTTTGCCTTTTACCTTCAGTATTGCTTCGTGATGCAGTTCGGTAATTTCCACAATGTATGTCCAATCCACTACCAGAGTATTTTCCTAATTTTATCTTCAAGTAATAGTTGGTTTGTTTACTCCCACAATTGGTTGTTGCTGACACTAATCGGAGAACGGATATTGAGTACCGTACGAAGACAACTATTTAGAAATACTGATGCAAATATGATCAATCTGATTCTATCTCTCTAGTGTGATCTGTTGAGACCCATGTAACTTGTATATACATTTGTGAGGCAATATAATGTCACATATAACCATGTTGTTGAATGCACGTAAATAACCAAATCTCACTCCATTATCGTTTCTTTCTCCTAGTCAGTCCATGTCGTCCGGTGATATCTTTATATCCGGTGTTGTCTATTTCGACTTTGGCGTTTAGATCTCCCTTCCAGGTGATCAGGTCGCTTTCTGTGCACTTTGCTATTGATTGCCGTCTCTTATAAAACTGATCTTTATAGTCGGTGTTGCTATCATTAATGGGTGCATAACATTGGATAACACTCATTATGATTCCCTTCTTCTTTGTATTGAAGGATGCTTTGGACAAAATCAGAGTATCTCTGAGTGTGAGGAGCATTTTCGTTTTCGTGACCAGAGTACAGCAGCATTTCCCCCTGAATCTATCCTTTTCTATCTAAATTGGATCCAATGGGTTTCATTGATTCCGATCACCGCCAAGTTGTATCTTTTCATTTCCGTGGCTATTTGATTTGTCCTTCCGGTCTCTCACGTTGTCTGAACACTACATTGTTGCTCTAGTTGTTAAAAGGAGCATCGGCCTCATAAATTCCGAAGCATGTCAGCTTTCATCATGAGGTGTCATAATTCTTCTGAAATGATGATCATTCAACTCGTTAGATAGAGTTTAAATATAAATAAATAATATATTTGTAATATCCCAATGAGTAGAAAATTAGATTTTCTGACGTTTCGTGACTTAGTGTAAGTCACTTCTACAGAGAATAAATAGTTTAATTTGTTTATTCTGGTTAATATTCTTTCAGCAACATTGTTTTCTACCGGATGGTGTTGGTGACTTCATATCCATCCCGCTTTTTTTACTAGGGCTTGGAACCGTCAGTAAACCTAGCAGAGCTACAGACGGAATTGTACTCTAGTCTAGGATACTATCTGTATATACTGTTGACATAATTCTGGTAAATAGTTCAGTGTTAACATTATGGCATTTATATTAAAATATATAAAATATTTTATTGTTTACAACTTATTATTGTTTTCACCATATTTATATATCAGTCATAGTTACACCCAATACATGACAATAACAATGGAGTTTATTATCAGGATGTAGATTTAAAAAGTGGACAAACGCATAATCAGCTTCTTTCCTTTAAAATTAATGCTATTAGCTTTAAGGGAATATCTACATCATTTGACTTGAAGTTTCTGGGTTTGTATTACAACAATGAACCACAAGCGATAATAAGGCATATGTCTAATGATCGCAAGTTTTTAATTATTTTTGCAATCTATGTCAGGTTGGGACGAAAACCACCACTTCACATTGTTTATATCTCGGTAGAACAAGACAACGACCAACGGGGTAAATATTTACATAATATATGTATATGGATCATCCATTTACATCTTGCGGTGTATTCTCGCCTGACCTTCAAGTGTTCAATCAACGCTACTCATTTGATGTGCTGAAACTCTTCGCTCCGTATAAGGACTTTGATAGCTTCTAGTCTAAACCCCACTACATATTATTCTAAAAGTAGTTTTGAAAGTAGCGTGAACCACATTTCTACTGAGAAAAATTTGAGTAGTAAGAATTCTAACTTAACTCTTAACCAATATAGATATTTTCACAGTTGAATTCACTAGTTGATCTAAACTAAACCACCATTGAAAACCTTGAAGCATTAGTTGACCGCTTCGTTATTGAATGGGACTGCATTCGTGGGAGTCGAACCGAAGACCTTCGTTTTCGCGCATGAACACATAACCTCTAGACCACTGAGCCGATATCCAACGATGTTAATGTCTAACTTTAATCAATCTACGATCTTTCACAACCCTTCATCCATTGTCTAATGTGGATAACTATCTCACACCAGACATAGATGATGGTCTAGCTTAGATCGACTTGTGAATTCATCTATGAAAATCCTATAATCTCCATTAGTTCCCATACTGAATATATATATATATATATATATATTGAAACAGTAATAATAATTAGGCAAAGGTGCAATGTGGCTGACAGTGGAATCCAGTTTGTCGTGAGTTTCGTCCCGTTTGGGACTCGTCAGCTAGATGTACTTGCATCACAGACTTGTTGATGTTCACTCCGGGACTCGAACCCAGTACTGTTCGCTTCAAATGCTATCGCGTTACCCACTTAATTACTGAGCTTTGATAGCCATCTGCTTATGCAATGAGTTGAAATTTAAATTCACTTGGGTCCCGAAGTGAATATCAACAAGACTGTGATGCATGTATATCAAACTGACGATAAGTTCCAAATAGGATGAAGTGACGCATGTCAAACTGGATTCCACTGCTAGCCACTATTTATCTTTACTTAAAAAAGCTTGTGACTTAAGACTATATCGAGGTAATCCAAACAAGATGCCCATATACCAACAAGAGATGGATCTATTACAGTCTTAAATAACAACAATCAAAAGATACAAGTAAAACCAGAACACTCCTAATCATTGTTTACTTTCATATGTAATCCATCTATTGTTGTATCTTTTTCTATTAATTGATTTTTCATTTGACTTAATTCTTTATTTAATCTATTCATTTGTATATCTTTATTAGATAAATCTTTTTGTAATTGTGTTACTAATCCACTTAATATTTGACGTTCTCTACGTGTTCTTTCTAATAATTGTCCATCGGTTAAATTATCATTCATAATTTTACAATCATGTTTATTTAATATTGTATCATTGAAGGATAATTTGATTTGTGAAGGTGTTGAACAAGGTCGTATTCTAATTGGTCCATGTTGTTGTTGTTGTTGTTGTTCTTGTCGTTGGTGGTGGTGGTGTTGTTGTTGTTCTTCTTCTTCTTGTTGTCGCTGAAGTTGTTGTTGATGTTGGTGTTGTTGTTGAATAGGATATGGAATTAGATCAGATGATGATGTATTCATATTTTGTTCAATATCTGTTTGAGTATAATTATTTATTAAAGATAAATTTCTAGGTGTATGTAATGGGGTATAATTACCGGAATAATGAAATAATCTATTCAATTGATTCATTTGAGATAATTGATTTTGTAAATGTTTTATAAGAATATCTTTTTGTGTAGTGATTGCTTCTAATGGTGTAAGACGATTAATTTGTTCTTGTAATTCTTTAATAAATTGATCCTGTATATGTATAGATAGAGAGAGATTTAAAACAACATTATTAGTAAGGTTAATATGTTGGGTGAGAATGATAATGATTGGTTATCTGCTTAGTCGGAGGCACAAATACATATGCGCCACACAGATCTCATTTGATATGTGTGTGAGGGCTGTGATACTGCTCGGGTGTCCAAACCGAACTAGGTGGTTGTTTGAGGGGGCCATGCCAGAGCCTTAGACCAGAAGGTCTGATCTACAAGGCAGTGGATCATTGTGAGGAAAAGCAGTCTCATGGTAGCCGGTGACCAACGATTGGTTCATACGCCATTTGTTCTCGCAGGATACTGGAGCCAGCCCATGTGCACCAGTGATTTGGGATCCGGTTAAAGCGCTAGACATTCGCTTTTCGTCCTCTCATTTTCGTAAACAACAGTTACGCCACGAGAAGGCAGTGAGTAGGACTTCTCTGGCAGAGGCTATACACGCGTGACCACGTGAGAGCATTTGGAGAGGGAGAGTGGACTCTCCCCACTCTCGGCCGTACCAGGGTTGAACATATTAGATAGTCTGATAGGTGTTAGATCAGTTATATATTCCCTTATCCTTATAATTATTAGGACTCACATATTATCGATTGTTCATTGTTGTTCGGTTGTGTCGGGTTTTTGATGTGGAAATATATTTACATTGTGGTCAGGCTAATTACATGTTCTTCATCATCTGAGTTGTGTTGAAGTCCGGTAGAATAATAGACACTGGGAGGGGAATCTAGTGTAGATATTCGTTTAGGGTAGGTTAACGTCCCATACGTGTAAACGTGAAAAACCAACCAATATAACATGAGACAAAGTAAAACCGAGCGTTATAACAAAGGTATAAAGAAGAGATGTAAGAATGCTAGATAATTTATTGCTATTTCTTATGGTTACTGTTATATGCATTTGGAATTAAGTCAAATTCGTTAAACCAGTAGTTAGATTGTAATCAGTGTTCAAATCTTGTCTAACTCTTAGTGCTTTCTGAAGTTTGTGGAATAGGTATTTTTTCTCTGAACTGAATTCGATAATGTGATGGAATCAAAATATAGTCGCTGGAACCTCACTTTCCATGTTCTAGGAATTTTCACCGGTTGAAATCATGAGTCAATTGAAGCTAGGACACCATGGAAAACCGGGAAGCACTGGATGACCGTTTCTCCCTAGTATGGGACTACTCAGAAGTGCTCATCCACGATCCCGCCTCGCATGATTCGAACCCAGTACCTATCTCACCAGTGGAGTTCAACCAGGTCTGTTGTGAGATATCAACTCACTGAACACAATGGTGTACGGTGGCACAACTCCATGGATTAGATGAAGTTAGACATTAACACCGTTGGATCCCGGCCGGATCAGTGGTCTAATGGTTAAGCGCTCACGCGCGAGACTGATAGGTCCTGTGTTCGAATCTTGCGAGGGGGGGCGGGATCGTGGATGTGCACCGCTGAGGAGTCTCATACTAGGACGAAACGGCCGTTCAGTGCTTCCAGATTTTTCATGGTGATCTAGCTTCAATTGACTCATGATTTCAACCAGTGAAATTTTTAAAAAAATTTCCACAAAACTCCTTCTGATTCTAGGAATTTGTCTAAATGTTCTATCCTAAAATCTATAGAGAATTTTGACATACAACTTGTTAGAAGTTGACTGATCTACTTACATCAATTAATACTATGTTGTTAAAAGTATTTCTCAGTTTTAAATCAGCATTAAATTCTGTACTGTATGAAGTGATATGGTAAGTCAATCAACAGTAGCCAAATAAGAAGGTCAATCGATGGTAATCAGAGATGACCTGAATGATATGTTTATTTCATTAGCTAAGAAATGAATTAATTTCCTAACAGGTAGAGTTGTACATTTTATTCGGTACTTCAATAGACTTTCTTGTTCACTCTTGTATCCTTGCTCAAGTAGTTAGTTACGGAGGTTAGTGCATAGCATGTCATGTATCAGTATCAAATTTTTGGATACCGCCCATCACAACATATAGTGTCTTTTTTTAAAATCCTATAGATTGTAAGGTGGGGATGCAACAAAACATTAGTAGTATGATGGAAAACTTTGCTGTTTTAAACCCTTTTTGAATAGAAATATCAATTTAAAGTTGAAAATATATTCTAGTTGATCACGGACAACAGTTATAGGATTATGTTGCAGAGCATCTGGTAAAACTTTAGTTTTAAACCATCATATGTCTATCAAGACATTACTAATATAGATATTGTTGAGTGGTTACAGAAAATCATTGTGACTTTTCATCTTTTTAATCTTGTCAAATGTTTAATGTAAAAAACTATATTTATAAATACGAATATACGTTCGCTGATGAAATGTTACGATTTCATGTTATATTGAGGATAATAAGAGAATTGTTGACATTCAGTTAAAATCTGGCTATATGATTGATAAGACGTCTGTCAGTCAGTCAGCTACAACGCAGGACCAGGTACATATATGCATCGGTCCAATTTGCCACACCTCATTAGCACAGCAAGATGAACACCGAATTCATAGAAGCAGTTAACCCGATAGTGTAATATATGAAGTACAGAGAGAAAAAATTAGTTCGGAGAAAGAAATATATGAAGCCATTTCAATCTCATAGTCTAAAGGAAAATAAAGAGTGTATACACCTACGCCACTGTGATCGATTCTGACCCATGTCACCTAGAGTCTACAACCACTGGTTACGATAGTCACACGGAACCTAACCAATTAGTCTGCATCTACCAACATGGCTCAGATTAGAAGTTAGTGACTTCAAGCACTAATGTCACGTTTTAAATTAAAGTGTTGGTTGTTCAAATCTTCTAACTGTTGTTTACGACTGTGATTGGTCTATAACTTATGGAATATGTTCATTCTGTACGGATCACATCGATATTGCTTTCAACCCTTATGAGCAGAGATAGTTGATGACTGGCAGACAAATCCAGAACCCTGATTTTTTTCTAATAGAGACTTTTCAGCTGGATGCACCTGCATCCTAGAGTTAATATTTATTCAAGGACTCAAATGCAGACTAAAAATTTGCAATCCTTAACATAAGTAGGAAAATTCAAACAATCAATGCAAATAAATTAGACTTCTATTGGATTAACTACAAGTTGTGCATATCGACTTGTATTACTATTGTATCTCACGTCGAGGCAGTCGGTGGTTGAGCATACGTAACACATGTCCCATCCATCTCAACTGATGAAGTTTCACTACTTCATCATTTTATTTGCCATCTTTACCTAGTAGCCGTTTCCTAACAACTGCCTCACTTACTCGGTGGTCCCAGGATATACGATCAATGTTTCGAAGACTCCTGTGATCGAATATCAGTAACCTACGAATATCTTCTACTCTTATCGGCCGTGCTTTACTGACATAAAGTAGGACAAAACGAACAATTTTGAAAGCTTTGTAATTAAATCTTCTAGCTTGGGGAACATAATATCATCAGAGATTTTCATCTGATCGGCAGATCTTCGATATTATTTCAAACACTCATTTATTTTAGTTGGGATTTAGAAGTCGACGTTACAAAATAAAGGTAAACAAAAGACTCTATTTTTTCATCATTTAGTTAACGTGCATTTGGCACTCTAATTGATGGATTGCCAATTTTCTATACTCCTATTTTACAGCATGAATCCATAAATTATACTAAGATCTCATTCCTTAATGAACTATTTGTATTACTGTACAAACCAATTTTTTATACTTCAATATGGAAAGTTTTAGGCATACGTTTAGTAACAAAATTGATCAATTAACAGCTTACCTTTTGATCTGAATTGGAGTCATTTCCTATTGAATCACTTGTTGTCACGTTTGGAGTAAGATTAGTCAAGCAACGGTCTAAAAATAACAAACACAGGATTAAATATGATCCAGATAAATAGTCGCAGAGATTTTCTTACCAGAAGATAGCTAACATTATGGACTAACGTGAACTTAATGGTCATTAAACATTAGATATTACAAAGTGGATTTAGTCTTAATATGAAATTCGCTAAAACATACACCCACAAATCAGTCAATCAGCGGTGGGTTTCAAGAGAAAATTCTAAAGTTACAGAGTGTTATAAAAAAGCACTTATAACTTTCAGTAATTTATTTTGTTTTTAATTAATATAGCTGCATCAAATGACATTGTGAATTGTATATATAAAGTCGGTTATTAGTCAGTTTTTATCAACCGTTTTGTAGTTCAGCGTATTCAAATTTACTTTCCGACTAGTTCATTTAGTCATCTCGTTTTTTAAATCCTCATAAAGTGATGGCAGTGGTTTAGTAATCTCAATCAAGTCAAGAAACAACTCTAGTAAACCAATTTGTTGAAAAGATAGTTTATGAAAAATAACTCAGTTACTTGTACTATAAAACAGAGGTTTCAGATAGTCCAAACTTGAAACTGACCTTAACGATCAGGACAACTTGCTTTAACTATAATGCAGTGGCTGATAACATTTCCAATAGCCTTCTACGTATCAATACAATATTAATAGTTGCAGCTGGTTGCGATTTTTTAAGTTCAAGACTGTGAGTATTATATAAAAAATACAACTCTAATATGTCTAGCTAGTGTCGTGTATTGCTAAATTTTTCATCAGTAATTTCTCTCATCTTTTTCACGTGTATCACAAACCTAAAGACGTCACAGGTATTTCGAGTTTCACAACACTTTAACCAGTAACACCTTCTACTATGAATCGTACCCAATAAGTGAAATCGAAAAACAGAAGAGAGGAGGTTCGGAGATATATTTGATAGGCTATCAATATATCGAGGATCGACTGATCTAATCTGAATAGCGATTGCAGGGGATATTTAGCACGGCGTTCCTATTTGTAATCTGATGCGGATGCATGGCCGAGTTCCTTCAGCTTGGTGAGTTCATTGAAATTAATGTAGTCAGCATTCAATGTCGAAGACTTACAGAGCTATTTATTTGGGGGATTTATTTACCGCTACAAACCGTTATAAGTAGTCTTTCGATCTGCTGAAAACTTCTCACTAATATTACTATCCACTTGATTTCATAAAATAAAGACGGGAAATGCAAAAGTATCTCGGAAAAAGAAACAGAAACTTGTTATAAACCTAGAGTAACTACCTGAAGTATTTGCTTTGACATAATAGAGAGGATATATTTTTGGTTCGTTAGTATTCGAACGACTCTCCGGTTGCTTTGAGGATAAATGTGCTTCGAAATTATTTTTTTCAATCTGTGTACACGTGTTAGAGGCTTTATTGTCTATGGATATTAATAAATAAAATGACAATAGTTACCACTTGGAACGATCCGTGAAATATTGATTTGACTTGAATCTGAATCATCGCACACTTTCATCCACGGAGGAAATGTAGCTTCGTGGTTATAAATTATTGTAAGTAAGTTACCTGATCGCTGTTCTTGATTACCAAGATCCGCTGGTTGCGTACCTGTAAAAGACTTTTGATCACTTGTAGTGGAAAGGGTTCAAGAACCTCGTACGAATTCTTTCCAGGGGATATTATTTCATATATTGTTGAGCAGCATCCAAACCTCAGTTTATCTCCAACTAATAGGCGAACAATTCCATCAACTCTTTGATCATTCACAAATGTCCCCTTCAAAGACAGATCATCAACCGTTTTACTGTGAAATTACTTTACGAGAGGACAAATCACGTAGGGTTACTAAGCCATTGGAAGGATCATACTCTATAACAGCATGTTGTTGATCAACAGTTGGGTTCTAAAATATGAGTTATAATAATAGATACATACATCAATAATAATGTCACACCCTGTTTTTCCAATAGTGGTGATCCTCGGACATATAGGGTAGGCCCACTTCATCGCTTTCATCGAAAGAAACATGACTCAGTTACTAAAACTGTTAACCATTTATTCATTATCAATTAGCGTCTCATATTTGAATTTCCTCGATATTCCCAGTATTCATAAAAACGGTGGTGCTGCGTAGATATGTTACTAAGTGTTTATTTGAATGTGGTGTGATAAAACAATTTACCGTTAGTACAGTGAAATTTCATATTGGTTTTAAAAAGGTGTACTTTGACGACTTGTATCTAAAAAGCTAAATTTCTACTGCTTCATTACTGCCTAGGTATGCAAATTTTAGAAGTCATTGTGTAGCTACCCTGCTCACTTATATTCAGAAAGTCACACAACTAGAGAGAGTTAATTGTTAATGGAAAGGATTTAACCGCCACTCTAATTTATAAGAAATGATCGAAATGACTTTCGTCATTACAAACTTGTCAGCTTCCCAAGTGTTGTGGTCAGAATATTGGAGAGGATAACCGAAATATCAGTTTAGACCTTTGTCTAAGCCGATGACGCGTTAGGCAAGGAAAAAATGTTTTCAATGCATTAAAGTATTGCATAGTCAGCCTCACTATGAAAAGTGAGCCCTATACTCTTTATACTATATATAACTGGACTTTCGCTTAGCATTTTATCTCTAATACGATTATACGGTGATGACGTCTTATGTTGCCGTCTGGGCTGTGTTTGTAAAAACCTTTGGATAAAACATTTTATCTCGTTGTATGATAACATATGTAATATAAAGACTGAGGTGGTACATAGAATGGTCACGCTATGCATTCTCGATTAAGTTTTTCCGTGTTAACTTTCTGACTTGCGCTCACTTCATCAAGCATTGAATGTTCAGTATATGTTTACCTACTTGTAGTTTGTACTGATGACACTTTTCCGAATATCGGTGCGAGCTTGGCATTTAAATTACAAGTCTAAAGAACGAAACTCCACCAAAATCATTTGCCTGAGCTACAAACCGCCTCCACAAAACGCCAGTGACTAAAGAGGTGTAGCAACTTAGTGAAACGTACTCAGCTTACTTGAAGTTAGTAAATTTAAAATATTTGTAACACGAGCAGAAAGGTAAGGGAGGCATAACCCTATTTATCTGTAATCATTCTCAAGCATTCCCCCTCTTTTGCAGTTACAAAGAAATATAATTATACTTTACCTCGAATATTTCATAACAGTTCATAGTGAATGACAACTTATAAGTGTACATGTCCGGTATATCATATAGGATTCTTCAGTAATTCCCGTTATATGGGACACGTATTGTGTCTCAAGTTTACTAACTGCTCTTATGATCCCAGACAGTTTTTCGGATGTTACAAGGTGCTGTTGCGAAACCCTTTGAATGGAAAATGGTATATGTAGGAGAGGTGAAGAAAGATGATAAATGGGGCTATAGCTAGTGGAATTCAACACAAAATGATGTAGATCTGACTCATCGGCACATTAAAACAGGAGCAATGGCTTCCAGACTGACGAGTACACCTCATACAAATAAAGGGAACATGGATACACTAGGATAGTTCAGCTCACAATTATTGGCAATTGCAGTAATAATGCTGATTCCCTAGAAGAGACAATGAAGGTGGGAAAGGTTCCTCGACGAAGCAATGTTCCCAGCTCTAAGTCTCCTAAGGTGCAGAAAAATTTGAAATGGAGCCACACCCCTACCATTCTGTTTATTATACGTCAAAAGCCACAGAAGCCGCAGAGGGTTAATTGGCTCTTACGCAACGTGTACATCCAGCGCCACTCGTGGTGTCCAACCTTATTCCCACACACAGTCAAGCATGAGTAGCGAACGCATTTTGAAATTTGAGAGTAAGTCCTGCGCTTCAGTGCCAGCCAACTCAAATATCAGACCCTACTTTTTTCTCCATTTCATAGATTATTATTCAATTCCACATATTACAAAGAAAAATGACGATCGATCCCGGTAGCGCAAAGCCGACAAATCAATAGTCATTGCTCCAAGTCACCTACCACAACGTGTCCACCGACTGTCACTCTGCCATCAACGTAAAACCAGACAGGCCATTGTCATTTAGGCAGTCGCTCGTATAAGCATGATCTAAAATGTTCATTCTTTGCTAGTGTGCGCCCTAGAATGATAACTGAATCTATGGATGTTAGGATATCTCATCAATACGGAACAATGACGACGCATTTCAGATAAAGGCTGGAACCTCTTTAAGTGGTAATAGACACCTTCAAAACTTAGAATAATTTCAGAATAACCGAAAGACCGAGTAAAAACGGCGAGTGATCTCTAGATAATCTGAAGTTGATCATTTAGCAATTTAAAAGCAAAGGTCTAGACCTCAGCTTTTATCGAACTAGCCACAAAAGATGTTGTTACGGAAATATATTAAAAAGACTAGCTACAGAGATAATGGCGTGACTACCACTGCATGGGTCAGTCCTTGGCGTGCATAATTGACGCGTCTTGTTGTTCCAGACTGTGGCAAATGTTGGTGGACTTGCAGTGGTACTGGACATAATCACACAATCCTCAAAACTTAATGTGAGATAACTGGGAAAATGTATATTCAACGATCAACACTAAGAGAGGGTCAACAATGGAGGGAGAGGGAAGAATTAATTGATTCAATCAGATGGAATGGCTTAGCCTCGCAGATGTGGTCGTTCGCATAAATTGTCTTTATTCACGTTAAGTATACTACCCTATCTTCAGACCAAATGTGTTTCCCAGAAAGACTACGTATCATCTTGTTAGTTTTTACCATACGATGATTCAGTGTAGATAATGATGCGACTTCTACACAGGATCTTATAGATTAGGTAGTCACATTAGGACATATCTACTATTGTAGGAGTAGGTCTATTACTAGAGGAGCACTAATTACGAACTAGACCATAAATCTACAAACGGTTTGGCGTTCCATGACACAACTGCCAGGTGATTTGGCTACGGCTCAGTGGCATTTCACTGGCCCTATAGACCATTATATATTCATTGGGGGGTGATTGTTAGTTCATGTCCACAACTGGTGGTAGCAAAAATGAGGTACACTTCAGGCTTGACCTTACATATTTACTTGAATTAAAAGGTCTCAAGATCACTTTGAATGTTAGTGGTTTAACTACAGACAAGTTAGGTCACCGTGACGATCCCGATGCAAAACATTCATAGGAATCTAGACTAACATGGTGACCAGGTTATCCTCCAGCATAATTAAAGAACATTTGTATTCTATTCTCTCATATTATAACTACAATCTAATATCATGTGATTAGTATTGTGCCTGGCATACCGGCGACAAATATTGGACTTCAGAATAAGATTTCACAATTTATTCACTAAACTAATGAATTCACAAAAGTCCAACTTTGTTACCAATGACAATAAATCACAACTGCTCAATAAATAAGATTTTCTGATTGTTGCTCCTTTTGATTTATTTCGATCATGATAAGTGCATACTTGGGCACATGATGAACCACCTAACAAAAATGGATGAATAACCGTTTTAAATTCAATTTACGTGTAGACAGACGAATATAAAAGCTCCAACACTCCAACTTCAACATCGTTTGTTCCAGGATGTACACTTGCTTGCTATAATCTAAGGTGTTCTTGAATTCGGATAAGACTAAAACTTCAGGCGTTTAAAGAACAACCTGGAAAAAATGTGTTTATCAGTGGATTAGAGGGTAGGATCCTTAGATTGACTTCCCCATTAGTTTATCTCACTGATCAATCAATTGTTAATATCAGTTGCAAGTATATTGTTGTCAGATTCACGGCGGTTTTGCTCAAAACATGTACAGAGTGTTTTAGTGATAACAATATTGAACCGTAAGAAGGGGTGATTAATGCGTTCAGTCTGATTTAGGCAAAGGTGTGAGTCTTAGGTTACCTGAATGATGAAAATGGAGATCAGACTCAACTTCACACGCGCTCAATTACTTCACCAAGTTGTCAAGCTCTTCAGAATGTTTATATATGTTTACTAGTAAGAGAAGGCATTAACAAAATCTAGGAGACGTTCACACGTGAAACAACCCCGTTGGTTAGCAAGAATATATGATTGAGAAGTGCAGGAGCTTCATAAGACGGTAACTGTTTAGAAATTATGGTTACCCCTAGTACTTCAGTACAACGTACCTTAAAGGCTCGTCATGAGAAAAAATCTCTCTCGATATTTACAGAAGTAAAATTTGTGATTCACCCTCGTGAAACATCTGTAAGCCATTTATTTAAACTTAACCACTACTTATGTTGCTAGCAAGCAAATTCTCACAAGCCATTGTGCCTCTGTGTACCTGGTATATTTACTCTTATGATCTAGGCCATCTGAAAAACTAATGCAGTAGAATGGTTAGCCTGTGACTAAGCCCACAGCGCATCCTTTGAGTGCTTGTTTTCTTCTTAAATGTGTTAACTTATGAGGCAGTATCTATTGGTTTGTGTATGGCTTCCCAGTTATTTTATCTTTATGCTTAAAAAGAAACTAATTGACATGTCCCTCCAGTATATTTTGATTACATTTCAGATCTGTTCCTGCTAAATATCTCCCATCTTAAGAGGAGGTATATTGGTCACAGTATAAGTGTTGATAAAGTAGTATTCGTAAAAATAGTTAATAATATGTGATTACTACTGCCAGTCACCAACAAGGTCCATAGTTAGCTATAGGTAAAACTGACGAGCTTCCTGAAGTGAGAAGAAGGTATTTCACAGATGTTTTGCGTATTTTCAACATTGATTGTTTGTGAGATAGGAATTGTCACGATGTTCTCTAGAACTGTTGGGCAGTTTCAGTATCTATCAAACGCTTAAATAAATACATAGTTCCAAGACATCCATTTCGGCCTTGGTGAGAGTCCTTATTATCATGGTTTTGAGGTACAGGTTTTTTTGGTCCTCTAAAAAATATGCTTATATGCTGATGTCATTTTTTAAAGACTAGAGAGGACGTTTGGAAACAGTTGGTATTGGGTGACCTGTCGTTAAAGACCATGATCAAATTTCGCTTCGAGTATTTGTCCTAATGGCAGCATCTTCAATTCTTTCACACGAAACATGGTATTTATCGCCATGAAAATAACAAGTTCACTGTATTTGTTGTACCCAAGTCTAGCCACTGCTGATAGAAATTAATTATTCTATCAAATTCATGCAGAGTCAACACGAAGAATTGTACTTTTCACTCGTAATAGAAACTGTTTAATTCAGACGTAAATCTTATGGGACTAAAAGTTAGTGATATTGAATTTTTTTATTTAAGGTTTTACATTTGTTGTAATATGTTATGTTGACCTTGTGAAAGGCACAAAATCGTATTAGAGATTGTTGTTTCCGTTCTCAACACTTTCCTGGTGGCCATGGTGTGTTTGTAAATAAAGGTACAATTTCGGTCTGTGAACATTTGAATGTTATTTTTGCAAGTATAAGGTAGTGGATTCGGAAATTTTAACTTTATTTATGATACTAAAACTACTACACAAGAAACAACTTACAGGTACCTGTAAGTTGCATACTCTTGAGTAATAAGTAGTCATATTGCCTTTTAAACCACACAGCTAAGAACAACTAATAAATGTCAAGTGTCTTACGAAATGCCTCACGAAATCGTTAAGGTAAAGAGTGTTTTTTCTGAGAATTATTTCGCAGAGATAAATATGTGTTTAGGTATGCTTATAACCCTACTCACTCTCCCTGTTTTAGATAAAAATTTGTCCGCTCTGTGAAAATGGCACTAACTCTTCAAAATGTTTGGAAAACTGCCAGTTTTCATTGGACTTTGGGGGAAAAGCCCATAATGGAGAGATTTGGAAATTTTTAAATTAAATCCACCTATATTCTGTCAATTTAGATTTTAAAGTAACATCTAGAGTTCAGTTTTTGTTCTTAGGACTGCTCTCAAAAAATAAGTACATGAACTAGCCGAATTTTTTTTACAAGATTATGTACCCTACCTTATTAAACATTTTTAACTGTTATAGAAGACTAGGTTCTATAAAAAACTTTTCAAAGATGAAATCACTTTATAGACTGAATTTTAACAGTTTATTACGGAAGGTTAGTCGATCGAAAACACTATAGCTTTAGACTCGTGTGACAACATAACTTGATTGTTCCACTTGATACACGTATGATGAAACTCTTCAGCTAACATTACAGCAAGGTGTAGATTCTGAGGTCTATATAATCTTTGAAAAGTCTTTATAAGTGATTAGAACCAATTCATACTCATGCGTTCTAGTGTTTCATTGCTGGATTCAGAGGTATTTTCATAAGATTAAGTAGCACCGTTTTATGATTTGCATTCTATCTCTTTCATATCAGTAAACATTTGGTGAATGTAGCTTTTTATTACCACAATATCAAAGGTAGTAATTCTGGTTTTTCAGTGCACAAAATTGTTTTGAGGGAGCTTAAGGAGTTTCAAATATGCGTACTTGTTATTTAACTACCACAAAAGTTGATGCATGTTTTACTTTTTGAAGTTTACCTTGGATATTCTTTAGATTTTTGAAATTCTGAAAACAGTGGGGAACGCTTTGATGAATGCAAATCAAGTCGTTTAAAGAGACTAAAGCGATAAAATTCCGCGTATCTAGTTTTATTGTGCATCTCAGTATTACCACTGCAATAGACCGAACAAAATTGAAGAAGTATGAATAAGTAAATACAATAACTATATTACAATTTAACATTTGGGCAAATACAGGATCGTTACAGTTAACTACGACATGAAAGTCTTCAAATTAATTTATGCTGAAAAAATACAATCATTCTAAAGATATTATTCTAAGTTTATAAATTCTACGTTGATGTTCAAAATGCATATAGATATAAATAGAGTCAATAAGTCTAACTGTAGGAATTCAGCGACCTTGTTAGTCGTGACATAAGAGACAGTCGAAATGGTAGTTGAGAACTGTGAATAAGTTCAAAAGCACGGTAGAGTTTGAGCAATAATCAGTCAAACGGCTCATACTGACGAAAAGAGAGCAACAATACAACTACAGTTAAGTGTTGTGCAATTAGCAATACATGATCCCCAGATTTGGCTAAATTTAAACGATTAGTAAAATTCATTCACAAAATGAGATTTTCTAACCAGCTTTATACCAGTCAAACTGTACCTAACTTTTCCATTGATCTTATAAATTTAAAGGTTGTAAATTAGAATGATTACATTTTTTAAAAAAAGCTTTGGAAAACTTCTGTAGCTTATTTCTGTATTTCACTTAGCATGTTTTCAACAAAGTAAATATATCCATGGCCAAAACACTTTTCTTACTTTTTCTTGAAACAACTCATTTTCTTGAAATCATAAGCTTTTGAATATTTCAGCTGACAAAATACAACGTTTACTAGTCGATATATCTGACGCTGGAAGCTTTAGTGTCTGAATTCTGATGAAAAAGCTTACGTTTCTTCTATTTAATAAGTCGTGCATCAGCACAATTTGATTATTTTTGTGTAAGAATACACTTTTAAAAAGACAAAAAATGCTTCATTAAAGAGTGAAAACATGAAGGCATTGGAATACTTTAGTTTTAACACTGAGATAATTTATCTTAAAATGATATCCAACAGATAACACTAACACTTGTTTTAGGTGCATAGTTTAGGAAATGAAGCATAATACGGAAGTTGCTGAGATGATAATTTTAACACGTAATCAAAGAACTGAAGCCGGCGTTTCAAGATGATGATATCAGTGATACTTATGATAATCACTTTATTCAATACTTAGCTGATAATTATCACTGTATCCGAACACATTATTATATTATTATCGCTGAAGTTAGATTAAAACCTGGTTTTCATTAATGAGCGATATCAAACAGTGTCATGAAGCTTTATTTTTACCCTTTATAATGTCTTGAGCATTTGATTGATCAAAAGCTTATTTTTAGCATGCACAGTCTTTTACAATAACAATATCACTTCGACTTCTAACACTAACCTTAGAATAATCAGTTTGTTGGACATCAGTATATTTGAAACGTCACAGATTAAGTGAAACCAAGTTGCAAAATGTATGAGGAAATTTTCGTTTAACGCCAGTTTAATGAGCGATAAAAAATAAATCCATTTTACGACAGCCTTTTTTAGTGATACACGGGTACCTCACTTATGTGCAATTGATGTCATCTCATCAGTACAACGAATAATATACGAAGGTAAATTCTTCATTTGGACTCTGTATAGAATTTAGTGAATATTACAAATGTGACTTGATATCCTCTGGTACTGATGATTATTCCTTCTCAATATTTCATCTAAAAAATAGGTCCTTAATGAGAAGACCCTAGTCAAATATGAGCACTTTTCTGCTTGATGATGAAGTTCCTATCGAAGCTGTCCGTTGGTTGTATTTCCGTCGTTCTGGTGGAGTAAGTACATGGAAACCATTTTGTGGATATGATTCCATACGTCTTGAAACAGCTTATCGAGAGCGTTATAACGGCAGTACGGACCCAGTTTACGATAGGATTACTGTTCGTGGAGAGATGTTCGAAGTAGACATGGAAAGTTGCCTGTGCATTCCTATATACTGGTTTGGAAAAAAACGATCTGTACACAGTAGAAGAAAAACTTGGTGTTCAACCAGAGTGGTACGTGCTGTTTGGTTCCAGAAGATCAATTGGTTACCTTTGGATACAAAGTTATCTGAAGTGATTGAATATGAACATCGTACGTATGCTATACCTAAATTGAAAGGAGTTACAAGCAAAAGTCGTAAACGTAATTAGTGATTGGCTCATAATTCTGTTGTCATATTTATTTTAGCTGTTCATAAATATCAGTCAAACAATTACGAAATAAAATGGATGCCTGATGGTACTATCTATTTAGTTACTAAAAGTGCAGAGCCTTTTGGTAAAGTTAGATTACACGGAGGATTAAGTGAGTACTTCATTTAAAAAATTTTAAATCGAATACTTTTATTTTAAAGGTAGTGTTCCTATCAGCAGAGGATTTAATCGTCCGGCGGAAACTAGTGATAGACCTCCCCCTATTACTCATGTATGCTTTGTTGTCCATGGTATTGGTCAACAGTTGGCTAGTATACGCCATGAATGCGCCAAGTACGTTTTTCATTTTTCTAATACTTCTTGCATGTTCACGCGTCAAAATTTATTAGCTATTAGATTTGATAAATTGATACATAGAGTCTAATTGTTACTTGTTTGACGTAGTCTATTCATTCTTTGTTTGGTAATTTATGTAGTTTACACCACTGATTTGCTCCAGCTGAAAACTAACTAAAAATTGAGAAGTACTGGATAGCTACTTTATCCTACTATGGGACTAGGCAGTGCGGATTCTCAACCCTTATGAGGACGAAACTCAGGACCTTTAGGTTTCTTGACGAGCACTTAACAGTTAGGTCCTTTATCCAATATCCAGTGCGCAGCATTTACAACTTTATTCAATTCACCACATTTTGTAACCACTTTTTATTCACATTATTGAGTAACTGACCCACACTTGACGTGTTTAAACTTCACTGATCACGGTTTCTTACTAGAACTTGATGAATTAACACCTGAAATTAGTTATTGGTGGACAGATTATTATTGTTAGCACAGTGAGTGCTTATTGGCTTTCAATGATTATCTAAATAAAATCAGTATGTATTGTAAACTTTGATATTCAACAAGCTCCACATACCCCTTATAGACAAAAAGTTATCGATGAAATATAATCTGTTAATTACCTTACTAATTTTGCCCATTCTTACTGATATATTTATTACGTCCTTAATCTGTCTACTCACGTTTGTGCAGAGGATAACTTGTTTAATCTAGAACAAGACCTTGATGCGATAGACTGACCGGCTTAAGCTTGAGGCTAGTGTATGTGAGCTCGAAGTGTGACCAATTGCTTAGGGTAGAGAAACGAAAACTATTCTATCACCTGATTGTCTGACAAGCACACGAGTGAGTGAAGACAAGTCAGTTGGAACACTACACGATTTATTCCCAATTCCGATCTGGTTCCCGATTTCAGATCAGTGTAAAAGGATACATGAATAAATAGAACACTAACCAGATCACAAAGTACAATAATTAGGAACGCACAATTATGTCCAAAACTGGAGATTAGTGTAGAAAACAGAGTACAAAATAATACGTTTAAATGACAATAGATTTGGAACATAAAAGGTCTATAACAATGAATCATACATCAAACGAAAGCTTATGATCTGTAGAATAGACCGGGGAGAAAAGTAAATATTACTGTTTTACAAGCTTTGAATGAAATAAAATAACGTCCCCGAAAAATAACTTCCGTAGTTTGTCAACGCTTCTTGTTTCTCAGTTCACATCAATATTCATCTAAATACATAAATTTGAAATCATGAGTCAATTGAAGCTAGACCACCATGAAAAACCTGAAGGCACTGGACTGCAGTTTCGTCCTAGCATGGGACTCCTTAATGGTGCGCATTCACGATCCCGCCCACGGGATTCGAACCCAGGACTAAAGATCATTATCATCATGTGATTCACCTGTATTGCAGTGCTTTTGTTTTTCTTTTGTTAAAACTCCATATCATTACTTATCGCTTAGAGTACCAACGCATTACGTAGAGAGGTGACTGATTTCTCTTCTTCATATTAACAATGAGACAACTCAAATTCTGATACATACATTAAAATTTGATTATATTTGAAATATAAATGTATGGTTCATAGATTAATTGTGATATTAAACAATTGGAATCGGGAAGGGGTTTTGTGGACATTTTTAGAAATTTCAGTGGTTGAAATCATGAGTCAATTGAAGCTAGAACACCACGACAAATCTGGAAACACTGAATGGCCGTTTGGTTCTAGTATGAGACTCCTCAGCAGTTCACATCCACGATCCTGCCTGTTGTGAGATATCAACTCGCTGGAAACAATGGTGTACGGCAGCACAATTTCGTGGATTAGTTGTAGTTAGACATTAACACCATTGGATCCCGGCCGGATCAGTGGTCTAATGGTTAAGCACTCGTGCGCGATCTGGGGTTCAAATCTCGCGGCGAAGGGGGTGCGGGATCGTGGATGTGCACTTCTGAAGAGTCTCACAATAGAATGAAACGGCCATCCAATCCATCCAAGTTTTTCATGGTTGCCTAGCTTCAATGGACTTGTGATCTCGACTATATTGAAATACATTTATTTGAAACAACTAGTCCCTTCGATAAATTTCGACAATGCAATGAGAAGACATAGTTTATCAGAATTGTGTGATATATATTTGAGCAATACATTTCGAACAATCTGATCACACATTACATACTTGTTAAGAACATTTATATATGAAAATTAAAAGGTCAACTAGACAGGTTAAAGGTAAGTCATAACAAAGGAAAAAAAATATTGAAGTACATAAAAACAAATGTGATTACCACTCTGGATAATAAGCCAATATTACCAGGGTAGGTGTTAAGTGTAAGGACAAATTGTTTTCGAACACATAAAGGGGGTGGGGGTTTCAGTTTCCATATAACCAAGGCTTCAATAAACCTTAGTATACATCCTTGAAGGCTTTTATATAACACCACTACAAATACTGACTTGATATCAACCTTATGACCTTTGTCAATCAAATGTTTTGCAATGGAGGATGATATCTGTCTATCCTGTGATTTTATTTGACCATTGGAATCCATCTGATTTTTGGAACCATTTTGATATGTTTTATGACCTTGGTTTATCTACCCACTTTTGGTGCCGAGGATAGTTGTCTAATCTAGATTTAGACTTTGATGCGATAGGCTGATAGGCCTAACCTAACGCGTGAGTTCCAGATGGGGTAGAGAGAAGAAAACTATTCTGTCATCTGACTGGTGGACAAGCACACGAATGAGAGAAGACAACACAATTGGAACACTACTTGATCTATCTCTGATATTTTGATGTCCTGATTTCACTGACTTCAGATTATTGTAAAAAGGTACATGAATAAATAGATGAATAACCCGACCGCAACGTACAATAATTAGGAAAAATACAATTATGTTCAAAGCTGGGAATTAGAGTAGAAAATAGGGTGCAAAATATAATGTTTAAATTACAATAGCTTCGGAACAGAAAAGGGTATGGCAATGAATGATACATCGAACGAAAGCTTATATTCTGTAGAGAATAGATTAGGGACATAAATAATTGTTACTGTGTTTACAAGCTTTGAATAGAATGAAATAACGTTCCCGAAAAATAGCTTCCGTAATTTGTTAACTGGTTAGCGTTTTTTTAGCGAGTTAGTTTTCTACGGGATGAGGACGCTAACCTCATGCCAGCATAACAGCAGTCTCTGCATCAGTAGGCCTCAAAATACACAAAGGGAAAACAAAGGTCCCCAAACAGAACACGGAGAAAAGGAATCCAATCACTCTTGATGGCGAAACCCTGGAAGATGTGAAATCCTTCACATAACTGGGAAGCATCGTCGATAAACAAGGAGGTTCAGGTGCAGACGTGAATGCGAGGATTGGCAAAGCAAGGACAGCATTCCTTCAATTGAAGAACATATGAAGCTCAAAACAACTGTCTGTAAGCTAATATCAAAGTCACAATCTTCAATACGAACGTCAAAACAATTCTACTATACGGAGCTGAAACGTGGAGAACTACAACAACCACCATCAAGAAGGTACAAGTATTTATCAATAGCTGTCTACGCAAGATACTCAACATCCATTGGCCGGATACCATCAGTAACAGCCTACTGTGGGAGAGAACCAACCAACTTCCAGCTGAAGACGAAATTAGGAAAAGACGATGGAAATGGATAAGACATACATTACAGAAATCATCCAACTGCATCACGAGGCAAGCCCTAATTAGAATCGTCAAGGGAAGTGGAAAAGAGGAAGGCCAAAGAAAACATTACATCGGGAAATAGAAGCGGATATAAAAATGATGAATAACAAATGGAAAGAGCTAGAAAGGATTGCTTGGGACAGGGTTGGATGGCGAATGCTGATAAGCGGGCTATGTTCCTTTACGAGGAGTAATAGACATAAGTAAGTAGGTAAGTAAGTTTGTTAACACTTTTTGTTTCCCTATTCATATCAATATATGTTCATTTACTAAAACAATATTTCACTATACTTCATTATCTTATTTCTTTTTCATTTTTTTTTTTACTCTTATATAGAATAAGAAAAACATGTCAAAAAGTAGTTGAAAAATTATATCCTAAATTATCTGAATTTGGACAACGTTTAGAATTTATACCAGTGAATTGGCGTAGTTCATTATTATTAAATTCGAAAACATTAAATAATGTTACTATAACACAATTAAGACCATTACGTGATTATATTAATCAAAGTTTTGTTGATATATTATATTATACTAGTTCATTATATCGTTATGATATAATGTATAGTTTAAGTTATGAATTAACAAGATTATTTAATTTATTTTGTATAAAAAATCCACAATTTTTACAAAAAGGTGGACAAATCTCTGTATTAGCACATTCACTTGGTAGTGTTATTATGCATGATATTTTAAGAAATAATGAAATTAAATTACCTAATTCATTATTTCATTCATTAGCAGTAAGTTAATGTTATATTTATTTATTTATTTATTTATTATTATTTGTATCTTTTCAATAGTTGGTACATAAAACTATAATGGATTAGTCTTATGTTGACATATGTGTATCTTATGTAGATCGCCTCGTCGTCAGATGGATATGCCTACATCTCAGAGTTGATGTTCACTTTGACACTCGAACCCAGTACCGTTCACTTCAAATACAATTACATTATCCACTTAACTGCTTAGTTCTGATAGCCATCTGATTGTGTAATGGGGTGGAGTTTAAATTCACTTGGTATTGTTTTTACATGTATCTTCCTATAGTTGTTATTAAAGATTATAATGGATCAGTCTCATGTTGACATATGTGTATCTTGTGTAGATTGTCTCAATATAATCTTAAGTGAAAAGTTTTTTTAAGCAAAGACAGTTAATGGCTAGCAGTGGAATGCAGTGTGACGCGAGCCACTTCATCCTATTTGGAACTCGTCGTCAGATGGATGTGCCTACATCTCAGAGTTGATGTTCACTTTGACACTCGAACCCATTAACCTTCACTTCAAATACAATTACATTATCCACTTAACTGCTTAGTTCTGATAGCCATCTGATTGTGTAATGGGGTGGAGTTTAAATTCACTTGGTATTGTTTTTACATGTATCTTCCTATAGTTGTTATTAAAGATTATAATGGATCAGTCTCATGTTGACATATGTGTATCTTGTGTAGATTGTCTCAATATAATCTTAAGTGAAAAGTTTTTTTTAAGCAAAGACAGTTAATGGCTAGCAGTGGAATCCAGTGTGATGCGAGCCACTTCATCCTATTTGCAACTCGTCGTCAGATGGATGTGCCTACATCACAGAGTTGATGTTCACTTTGACACTCGAACCCATTAACCTTCACTTCAAATACAATTACATTATTCACTTAACTGCTTAGTTCTGATAGCCATCTGATTGTGTAATGGAATGGAGTTTAAATTCACTTGGTATTGTTTTTACATGTATCTTCCTATAGTTGTTATTAAAGATTATAATGGATCAGTCTCATGTTGACATATGTGTATCTTGTGTAGATTGTCTCAATATAATCTTAAGTGAAAAGTTTTTTTAAGCAAAGACAGTTAATGGCTAGCAGTGGAATCCAGTGTGACGCGAGCCACTTCATCCTATTTGGAACTCGTCGTCAGATGGATGTGCCTACATCACAGAGTTGATGTTCACTTTGAGACTAGAACCCAGTAACCTTCACTTCAAATACAATTACATTATCCACTTAACTGCTTAGTTCTGATAGCCATCTGATTGTGTAATGGAATGGAGTTTAAATTCACTTGGTATTGTTTTTACATGTATCTTCCTATAGTTGTTATTAAAGATTATAATGGATCAGTCTCATGTTGACATATGTGTATCTTGTGTAGATTGTCTCAATATAATCTTAAGTGAAAAGTTTTTTTAAGCAAAGACAGTTAATGGCTAGCAGTGGAATCCAGTGTGATGCGAGCCACTTCATCCTATTTTGGACTCGTCGTCACATGGATGTGCCTTTCACTTTGAGACTAGAACCCAGTACCGTTCACTTTGAATACCATTACATAATCCAATTAACTACTTATTTCTGATAGCCGCCGGCTTGTGTAATGGAATGGAGTTTAAATTCCCTTGGTATTGTTTTTACATGTATCTTCCTATAGTTGTTATTAAAGATTATAATGGATCAGTCTCATGTTGACATATGTGTATCTTGTGTAGATTGTCTCAATATAATCTTAAGTGAAAAGTTTTTTTAAGCAAAGACAGTTAATGGCTAGCAGTGGAATCCAGTGTGATGCGAGCCACTTCATCCTATTTGGGACTCGTCGTCAGATGGATGTGCCTACATCACAGAGTTGATGTTCACTTTGAGACTAGAACCCAGTACCGTTCACTTCAAATACAATTACATTATCCACTTAACTGCTTAGTTCTGATAGCCATCTGATTGTGTAATGGGGTGGAGTTTAAATTCCCTTGGTATTGTTTTTACATGTATCTTCCTATAGTTGTTATTAAACACTATAATGGATCAGTCTCATGTTGACATATGTGCATCCTGTGCAAACTGCTTTAATATTGCCTTAAATCACAAGCTTTTTAATGTTCATGTTGATTGATTAATTTGAATTCATACTGTTTAATAGTCATAAAAAAGGGAGATTTTTATCCATGTTTCATTATTTTCATATGAGAATCTCTATAACGATATAAATTAATCTTTGATAAGATATAGGATAAGTTGATGAAGATGAAAACTGTCGTAATTCTATCAAAAAATTAAGGTTAAAATGTTTTAGCTTCAATCGTCTGCAAGATTCTCAGTCTAACGGAATCAAGTAGACTGTTGTTAACACGATATATTCTTGCAAAAGATTGGTGTTACTTTTAATTTTAAAAATCATAGAATTATTTATTAGATAGTACTAATCTTGATGTCATCCTTTAAGTAGTACATATTACTATAACTAAAAGTTTATTTATAATTGAAAGGATTGGTCTGATATTCTTTTATTATGCTAGAGATTCCTTCTAGTAGGTCATAAGCTATTCATTTTTGTAGTTATATTCAAATAAATTGTGACAAAGTGATGATTACAATGAAAGATAATGACAAGCTTTATCAAACCGGTGGTGATCTTAGGCAGTTTAACTAAGGTATTGTGTTAGTTAACATTGAACAACAAACTGAATACATACCAGAGGAGGAACTGTAACTCTGCATACGCACGTTCGAACCTACATCACCTAATGTTATAGCATTTAGAAAGAAGTAAATATCAGTATCGGCAGTTTATGTATACCTGTTATTTAAAGCAGTTTAAGCTATTAATATAATAAATTGCATATAAACATTATGCTGTAGATTAGTTAATGTCAAATAGTGCCCATTTTAATGTATCCGAAGACGATCATTGATTATATAACTAAATCAGATATATAACTCAGTGTATTAAGATAGTTTCACTCATACTGTTGATATATATTGAAATATTGAACGGCATTCTTACTTTCTTTCTTGAGTTCATCCGTATCAGTAATTGTTCATGTACGAAAAGTAACAGGCAGTAATCTTTCCTTACTCAAAACAACTAACCATACCACTTTTTACGCAGTTAAAATACGTTTTTGGAGAAATGATCCTGGTGAACTATTCTTGTTGTACTGTGGTGTGAATACTTAATCATTAGTGTATGAAGTTTGTACGGATCTCCGAATTTTATGGTTTACAACACGAATCGACCCAAGTTACATCATCACTAGAAACAAAGAAGCATTAGACAATTGAATTGTCCTATTCTGGAATTCCTTAGCAGTGGTCTTGAGACCACTAGGACAGCATCTAATCGTTTACATATCTTTCTTAAAACTATTAGCTAAATTAAACCATTGTCAGTGTTAGGCGACTTCCCCACCATCAACATATGTGAGATTTCCGAAAGGTTGGGAGGGTTAGCCTGTTGAGGATTGCCATGTTGGGACGGAACAGTTGTCTAGTACGTCCTGGTTTTCAGTGGTTGTTTAAGTAATATCAATACTACTACTAACAGCTAAAATGTTTAGACGATTTAAAGTAAAATTATGAATAGAAGAAAATTCATCCCATTAGTTACACTGATTTATGCGAGTTGCAAATATTCTTCACATGTTGACTTTGATCAATTTCAACTTTCTATGATGTAACTACACATGAAAATTAGTTCATTTATAGTGTCTGAGATTTTGATGGAGTTTTGTTCTTTGAGCTAGATGGTTTGATCAAACTGATCATTCACGGTTTTTCTCTGTAAAAAACTTTAAGTAAATTAGTTTTGAAAATAAATTACTATGTCAGTCAGTTAGTTAGTTAGTTAGTTAGTTAGTTAGTTAGTTAGTTAGAAAGAAAGAAAGAAAGAATTAGTTCGTAGAAAGAAAGAAATATATAAAGCAAACTTAATCTCATAGTTTCAGTCAGTCTGTCAGTAACAACATGGAAGTTCGTACGTACGTACATCAGTTCGAGTTGCCATACCACGTAGTTTAAGGGAAGATAGATAGTGTATACATCTACGCAATTGTGATCGATTCCGAACCACGTCACATACACTCTCCAACCATTAGTTACGATAGTCGTGCGGACCCCAATCAAGTAGTCTGCATCTACCAACACGGCTCAGACTAAAAGTTAGTGACTTCAAACGCTAACGCCACGTTTTAATTTGGCCACCCCTAACATTCTTCCAACCATTTCCAATACTAATCATCATTGTGCATTACTATGTGTCAACCGTAATGTTTTTTCCTTTTTGTTTAACACTACTGACTATCATTTTTACCAGCCATGGTAGAACGATCAAACCATCCAGCTCAGAGAACAAAACTCCATCAAATTCATCCATCTGAGCTAAAAAAATTTCTCCACCATCTCAAAGTGCATGAGATTTCCACACATTAATGTCATTCTAACATTAAAGAGGCAGAATGTATTTGTAAATCTTGGATTTATATCAACTCGGTTCCCATATACTATAAAACTATTTAATGTCATTCTGTTTATTTATTTCCATTGAAATAGTCATAATTATAATACTATTGTTTATAAATGTTACTATATTGAAATTTCAACTAAGAAGATAGTATCCAACTGTTAGGTTTGGTTAAGCTGAGTCAGGGACAACATACCAGAATAGCCTATCGAGATTTGAAATTCCTTGATCTGATCGATAAGTCACTGCCCTCTAATCGGCGGCCTTTGAGATATAACACCAACAAGAACATTTAAAATGATATTTTCTTTCGAATTATAAGAAATTTCAATGAGATAAGGTGCTTTATTAACAATATAATGCTATAGGTCTTAGTATTACTTGGTTTTTGTTTTATTGTCTATTATAAGGGTGCTGTTCTGTTCATAAAACAGTTTTCATTTGAACAAGATCATTTCATCGTCATAACAAAAAAAAACGACGATCTACTTAGCACCCAATAGGTGTTT